TTTCCCAGAGTTTGCAGCTGCTCATTCTAATCTGGCAAGTGTCCTGCAACAACAAGGAAAACTCCAGGAAGCTCTAATGCACTACAAGGAGGCCATCAGGTACAGTTTACAATGTTTTATGACTTCATATATTTAATGACTGCATTAACAGAGCAAAAAAATTCATTATTGCCCTTGTTGATCATGTTTTTTTGGCATGTCCCTGTTTCTGTAGGATTAGTCCCACTTTTGCTGATGCCTATTCAAACATGGGAAACACACTGAAGGAAATGCAGGATGTTCAGGGAGCCCTGCAGTGCTATACACGTGCCATTCAAATCAACCCCGCCTTTGCTGATGCCCACAGCAATTTGGCCTCTATTCATAAGGTAATGAAGTATATAATGAAGCATTGAGCATTACTCAATCAATAATGAATAGTTATTATCAACAGACATAAGTGTTTTGATAATGTATCTGTAATAAATATTTTTAATGTTTAATTCTTTTTGTTAGGATTCTGGCAACATCCCTGAGGCCATAGCATCTTACCGCACAGCCTTGAAGCTTAAGCCGGATTTCCCAGATGCTTACTGCAACTTGGCACACTGCCTTCAGGTTAGTACTTTCTCCCTAGTGAAGAAAACTTCCTTGCATACAATGTGGGTATTTTACTAAGCAATTGTCTGACAGATTGTGTGTGATTGGACTGATTATGATGAGCGGATGAAGAAACTTGTGAGCATCGTAGCTGACCAACTGGAAAAGAATCGCCTGCCTTCAGTGCACCCCCACCACAGCATGTTGTATCCACTGTCGCACAACTTCCGCAAGGCCATTGCAGAACGTCATGGAAACCTTTGTCTGGACAAGGTACTCGCAATGACAAAAGCAAGTACACATTCTTTCATTTTATTTGGGGAGGATGGTGAAAGGTGGCTGGTGATGCGGGGAGGTGGAGTTCATAAGACATTAATTGATTGTAAACAAAAAGATAATTTAATGACAGCAGAAATGGCTGCTTGCAATGGTGAGGTGTGGGTAAATAAGATGTATTTTGTTGTAATCCTAACAGAATCTGTTCTTTTGCAGATTAATGCATTGCATAAACCTGCCTATGAACATCCGAAAGACCTTAAAGCAAGCAATGGCCGCCTCCGCATTGGCTATGTCAGCTCTGATTTTGGTAACCACCCAACTTCACACCTGATGCAGTCTATTCCTGGAATGCACAACCCAGAGAAGTTTGAGGTATTGTTGTTTCTTCAGTGTATGTTTTTTGACACAGCAGTGATTCATTGCAGTGCTAAAACTGATATTAAATTTCCCACAAAGGTTTTCTGCTATGCGCTCAGTCCTGATGACAGCACCAACTTCCGAGTGAAAGTAGTAGCAGAGGCTCATCACTTTACAGATCTCTCACAGGTAAGCGTTTATCTTATTTTTTTATACTAGGATAAAAATGGTTTCGTCAGTGAACGTGTTTAAACTAAATTGTGTCTCCAGATACCGTGTAATGGAAAGGCAGCTGACCGCATTCACCAAGATGGGATCCACATTCTTGTCAACATGAATGGATACACTAAAGGAGCACGAAATGAGCTGTTTGCCCTCCGCCCCGCCCCCATTCAGGTGAGCCAAACCCTCTGGTTAATAAGATGCCACCCACTTTACATCAGTCTTAAAAAAACAAAACAAACAAAAAAAAACAACTAAAATATCTTTGATTTTTGATCAGTCAATGTGGCTGGGATACCCTGGAACAAGTGGTGCACCTTTCATGGACTACATCGTCACTGACAAAGAAACATCACCCATGGAGTTGGCTGAGCAGTACTCAGAAAAAATGGCCTACATGCCACACACCTTCTTTATTGGAGACCATGCAAACATGTTTCCCCATCTCAAGGTTTGCTTGGATTTGATTTGCAGTTTTATTGCAAAAGGTAGTTAATAATGTCACTAATGTTACTACTGCATTCTGATAGAAAAAAGCAGTCATTGACTTCAAATCAAATGGTCACATTTTTGACAACCGCATTGTGCTTAATGGCATTGACCTGAAGGCTTTCCTGGACAGTCTTCCAGATGTCAAAGTGATAAAGGTATCTTTGATTTATTGTTATAGGTGTTCATGTTTAACTTTCTATTTATTTAGAAAACCTGAGCTAATTTGAGTTAAATATGCAATACCTTTGCTTAGATGAAATGTGACAACAATCAGGAACCTTCTGGAGACACAAATGGGGCCCTGTCCATGCCTGTGATTCCAATGAACACAGCAGCTGAAGCCATCATAAACATGATCAACCAGGGCCAAATCCAGGTCACCATAAATAGCTTCACTGTCAGCAACGGCCTGGCCACCACACAGGTAGGTTTCTGAAACACAAAGCCTGTCAGGTGCACTCTTTTTCATATTCATGTCAAAGTTCTTTATGAAGGGAATCAAGTCAAGTTCAGTTTTTTTTTTTTTGCAAATTCTGACACAATGAGGCAGCTCCTAACAGCACAGCAGGTTGCTGCTTTTACAGATAGTATGCAGATCAGCAGATGAGAATATAGTGTGTGAAAGTGAGTTGCAGGTATGATGTTTAGTTTAATATGATGTACAGTGGGAGCACCAGATATTTTTGGGGGAATTTTGGCACACTTGTCTCGAGTCCTTTTTTATTTTATTTTTTCATAATTTTCAGAACATAATTTATGGTACCCAATTCCATACGTGTTGATGTTTTGTTAATTAAACTGATTTGCATTTCTTCTTAAGATCAACAACAAGGCTGCCACAGGGGAAGAGGTTCCACGCACAATCGTGGTGACGACTCGCTCCCAGTATGGTCTGCCAGAGGACTCCATTGTGTATTGCAACTTTAATCAGCTGTATAAGATTGACCCTCCTACTCTTCAAATGTGGGCCAATGTAAGTTTGAGCTCTCAAGTATGGTTCACATCGTAACATGAGAGAAGCTTCTGAATCCTTCACTTATCCCTTTAACAGATCCTGAAAAGGGTGCCCAACAGTGTGCTGTGGCTTCTGCGCTTCCCTGCTGTGGGAGAGCCCAACATCCAGCAGTATGCTCAGAATATGGGCCTGCCTGCCTCACGGGTCATCTTCTCTCCTGTGGCTCCCAAGGAGGAGCACGTGAGGAGGGGGCAGCTGGCAGATGTCTGCCTCGATACGCCTCTGTGTAATGGCCACACAACAGGCATGGATGTCCTGTGGGCAGGAACACCCATGGTAACCATGCCAGGTGAGGACAAGAGGTTTTGTTTGTAATAGATTTTGCTAAAACTCAAGCACAAACTTTAAACATAAAATGTCTTTTCAAAGGTGAGACGTTGGCATCACGTGTCGCAGCATCACAACTGGCTTGTTTAGGTTGTCCAGAACTAATAGCCCATAGTCGTCAAGACTATGAAGACATTGCCGTCAAACTAGGCTCTGACATGGAGTAGTAAGTACATTTTTATATACACATTGTCATAATTTGTGTGATGCTCACTGAAAGGTTGGACTGACTCTGTTCATCGTCCTTATAGCCTCAAGATGATCAGAGCACGTGTTTGGAAACAGAGAATCTGCAGCCCCCTTTTCAACACCAAGCAATACACCATGGATTTGGAGAGGCTATACCTTCAGATGTGGGAGCACCATGCCAATGGCAACAAACCAGAGCACCTCGTCAATGTCCAACCACCAGAAAGCACAGAGAAGGCCTGAACTGGAAAGGCGCTAGGGTCACTCAGTCTGTCCACCACCATTATCTGATATGACCAGTCCTGACCAGTTATGAACTTTATTGTCTGCAGCAGTTTAAGTGGGACTTGTAAAGAGCCTCCAGATCTTCACGTATTGCATCTATTGAGCCAGACGAAGCCTGATACATTCATGATCCCTTTGGTCTGAGACTCTATACCACACTGAGCATGAACAGTGAGGTCCCTGCTATCCCCTCAGTGCGTGAGTCAGTGGATGTCCCCCGTTTTGTGCTTACAGGACTATTAGCTTGTGGAGCTAAATTCTTGCCGTCTTCACTATCAATCTATTTATCGGTGGATTAAGTCTGTATTTTAAAAAGGACAGCATTGACCATTGAAATCAAAACTTGTATTTTAGTTTAATCGAATAGAAGGGTCATCTTAATTTAAAATTGCTCTTTAGTTTCTGAATATTAAATGTCTGCAGTGGGTATTGCAGGTTTAATGCTCACCAACTACCACCTTTGCATAATTTTGTTATTAAGAATCATCTTCTCAATCAGTAGCTGTTGCCTGATTTTATGACGCACTGTGTGATTGGGAGAAAAAAAAGCTCTGCAAAAATGATTCTCAATTAATACGATATAAATCTGTCCCTTCATACACAATCTTTTATCACTTAATCGGAAATGGCCTAGGTAAGTATTTTCTAAGACATTTTTGTTTTGTATTGTCTTTTAACTGTATGCTGTCATTGATGCCTCAAGGCTTGAGAAACCATACAAAAAAAATAAAGAGCTGGCACCAACTTGGATCTTTTTTCCCTTTAATATCAGATTATTTAACATTCTATTCTATAAACCCTTAAAATGTTTTGGGATTGTGCACATGGCACATGTATATTCAGGAGAATGTTGTATCAAAGTATCTTAGGTGTTCAAATAATGCAGTACATACAGACCAACAAATAGGATTGTCTTTAATGGTCTTATGATAGTGATTACAAAGGATTATGTAATGTTAAGTCTTACATTGTTTTACAGTGGTTTAAGATGTTAACGGATTAAGAAGAATTATAGCATGTATTTCAAATGCCCTTTTCATATCATGTTAAAAGTTTTAGGTCTTTGCCTTGGCTGGGTAGTTTTGAACAGTGGTTTCCTAGTAATCGTTTAAAAAAAAAAAAAATGGATATGAATTGAGGTAAGTGAAGTTAATTGCTTTTTGCTAACTGAGTACATTGTAGTATTTTACTACCAACTTAAACTTACTTGAGCCTTTTAAAACCTTTTCAAGGCAATATGTCTGCTGATGAAACCCCTACTGCAATGTTGTGCATGGGTCCTCAAGAAATGTCACCTTTAACAGCCTTATGTGCGAAGGTAAACAACTGTTATCTGTGCATCTTGCTTTCTTGCTGGAATATTTGTCTATAAAGAAGAGCAAGGACATCCATAAGATAACACAAGAGCATGAATTTTACTGTGAACGCTTGGACATGACAAAAGCCCACAAATCACAAGAAAACCTAGAAGATACTGACAGGGAAATGGGGATATGGATCAAGAATGCTGTCAAGAAGTCTTTCAAGAATGTACCCGATGTTACCCAGACCTTGAATATCAATATGTGACAATGGATCACCTAAAGATTTTTCAGAGGTTCAGCAATTGTTTAGAAATTACCTTGAAACAATTGTGATTGTCACTCAAAAGGAAGCAACAGTCCCAGAAGAAATGGACGAAAAGTTGAATACAATTCTAGACCAAGTGGCCACTCATCTAAATAAGATGAATTCACTGGTGAGAACTTTTCAAAATTTCAAGGCCATGTATTTTATGTAAATGTCATACTTAAATAATTTCAAGATGTATTTACATTTTAGATTCACCAATGTCATTTTGAAATCCAAAAAAATAACACTTCAAATGGAACAAAAACCTTATGAGGTTTGCTGTAAGGATGCAGAGTTGTATTTGGAGGAAGCAAAGATCAGAGAAGCCAGTCTCCAACAGGAATTAGAGCAACTCACCATCCAGATTAATATCATGTACTAAGAGGATAGAGACAAGAAAAGGCACATACAGGAGGTAAGTAGTTTATTCGGCTATGTACTGATGGTGTTTTCATGATTATTAATTGAGATATTTCCATATGGCAGGAAACAGAAAAAGTGATGGATGAAACTGAATACATGTTTAAATGTTGTGATAAACATATGGAAGCAGAACAGATGAACAGTGAATGCATGTGGAAAAGTTTATTATTCTAGATTTCGTTGATGATATTGATTTGTTTTACATGTTGAAGTCTGATCTAGAGGCACAAGAAAAAACATTAAGGAATGAGGAGGGTCTGATGAAGCTGGAGAGATTGTTTGCAGTCATGGAGGTGGAATACAATGAAGTTTTGGAGAGGAAGAAAGAGTAGATGAGAATTCTTCAGCTCAAGACAAAAGCAGCCATCGTGCAAGCTTGGTGGAGAGGATACAGAGTCTGAAATGCCATAATGGAACAAAAGAAAAGAAGGCCATAAAAGGAAAAGGCAAAGGCAAAATCAAGTATGTATACGAAATATGTAAATATGTGTTTTTTATTTTCAACAACAATAAAATGCCCCATAACCATAGAATTTGGTCTGGAACTGCCATGAGAGAAGAAGAAATGATCACGGTTGGGTTTATTATGCCTGTGTACATTAGCCTGAAATGGTTACACAGACATTTACCACCAGAAAATAATAATAATAATAATAATAATAATAATAATAATAATAATAATAATAATAATAATAATAATAATAATAATAATAATAATAATAATAATAATACATGCATTTTATTTATGCATCTTTCTTTTTCCCCCGTCATGCAAAATCATACACAGGCAAAGTGGTTAAAAAAAATGTTTTGCCGAGTCTTGCCCAAAGACACAACGCCGGGGGGTGGGGGGTGGGGGTGATGGTGGTTGACTGCATGGACCAATCAGCTAACACCTCAACACCTTCGAGGTCTTTGATTGGTCAATTATCTCCGTGACAACTTCCGCCGCACGCAAAGCCTCGGTTTAAAATTCTTCACGTTGGTTAGCTTTAGCTTTTAACACGGATGTCTTGTAGGGTTTTAAATTGTTTTGGTGTGTAAGTCATTATTACTTTTATAGACATTTTAAATAATTAGTTTTGATAGTTAGACGTTATTTTTGACTGAAATATGGATGACGACACCCACAAGCTATTTGATAAAGTTGCCAAAAACATGGGATGGATGGAAATCGGACTGGATGTAGCCGTAGAAAATGTGTGTAAAGTCACTTCTTCTTCATTTTGTTAGAGTAAGCATTTAATTCATCAGCTAACGTCTGAAGCTATATTTATGCCAAATGTTGTATTTCTAGTTGCGGCGTTGTGTTGGGAAGAGCCGACATCTCGGGACAAGTTATGCTAAGAATGGTTCCTCTGGCGCGTCTGGAAGTGATGGAGATGCTGACAAAGAAAATCTGCCTTTTGAAAGCAAAGACTACCGTGTAAAGTCATTGAACGACTCGACTGATGACGAGTTTGATCAGTGTAAGACATCAACAGTAAGATAATGTCAGAACTGGCTAAATAACAGCTAAGATTGCATTTCCTGTTTCTTTAGTTCTTAAAAAAATGGCCACGCCAAAAACAAAAACCCAGACCCCATCCCAAAAACCTGTACCTGTCTCAAAGAAAGAGAGGTATGGAAAATGTAAACATAAAGCTCTAACTTACTTCCTTTTTATGTAAGTCTTTTGTTTTGTTACAGCATTGTTGTTGTGAGTTCAGACAGTGATGGCTCATTTGAGACATGTAAGTTAAAATTGTCCTGCTTTTTTTTTTTTTTTTATGCTTTCAAGCATGATTATCAATTATCCAAATTTTTCCCTAGTTCTCTCACGAGTAAAGACTCCTAATGTTAAGCCTAGGACCATTAAGAAGAGTGACGGTGAAAACAGGTTTTTTTTTTTTCTTTAAATGTAGCTGTAATCTGCAAACTGCTAAAATATACACAAGCAAATGTCATATGTCTTCTCCACAGCCTTAAAAACTTCATAGTGAATGACAGCTCTTCAGATGATGACTTTATTGACCCAAAATCAATTAGAGGTAAGGTATTTAAAGCGATTACATGTAGTGATTAGATGTACAATAGAAGAAAGATAATAATGATTTATGATGTGAAATTCTTTGCTCTTTCCTGCAGTGCCAAAGAAAATGCACACTCCATCTCAGGCTCTATTGAGAAGACCACTTTCGCAGTGCGAGTCTCCTGTTTTTATCAGTGACAGTGATGATGATGAGGATAATATTGTTATAAAGAGCACATGGAAAACTCGCTATAAGAGGCTTCAACCATCAAACAAGGAAAATAGCACAACATTGCAAGGAGATGGTGACTGTTCACCTTCCGTGGCAGCTAAACCTTCTCCCTTGTCATTTTTTTCCAGTAAAGTAGTGAACTCACTGGCGTCTGAAGTTTATAGTAGTGTCCCTAAGCAAACATTTTCAGCACCTTCCAGACTTGCTGAATCATCAAGTTCTGAAGAGGAGTTTACCTCACTTTTAGACAGACTTAAAAAGAAAAATAAATTGCCTGGTGGTACCCCTTCACCTGCCCCCAGAAAAGGTATGTTTTGTTATTGTTCTTAGACAAATATATATGTATTTATAGTATCTATGAAGAGAATACAATGTATTCAATTTTTTTTTAGAGCTAAAGACACCTATTGCAACCCCCAATCCTGTAAATGGACCAAAGTCATCAAAATCTAAATTGATAGATGACATAGCTCTCAATTGTATCACCCCAAGTAAAAACATAATTGTTAAACCAACTGTTAGCCAAACAGAGCCTCGGCATGGGCCCAGCAGCAGGTAGACACACATTTCAGGTATTACACATTGAATCTGTGCTGTTGGAATAATGGCGTAATGAGTTTTCATTTTTCTTCAAAAGGGTTGCTTTGTGTAAAACTCCTGGCTGCTTTTTGGAAACACTCTCAAACCCCGGGACTACTTATGGCCACAATTTTAAGCAAAACAAGGAAGAACTCACAAGTAGATTATTTAAACTCTATAATGCCAGTGTGTTTGATGGAAAGGTAAAAAAGTTAAAAGGTTACAATAAAAATGTTTAGTTGTCAGTGTGTAATTTTATGTAATTATTGCAGCTTCCAGCAAGCATGCCAGTTACATGGAATAAGAAGATGCGCAAAACTGCAGGTTACTGTATCACAGGACAGGAACGAGGAGGTGGAAACCGCTATGCCCGCATTGAACTATCAGAGAAAGTCTGTGACTCTGCAGGTAAGAATGCCTGAAATACATAGTCAACTTCTATTGTTGTCACTATGAATATAATTCACTGCATGGTCCACCTATTCAGACCGTTTGCGAGACACTCTGATCCATGAGATGTGTCATGCGGCTACATGGCTGATAAATGGAGTCCGAGATGGCCATGGAAACTTCTGGAAGCTGTATGCCCGCAAGTCCACAGTGATACACCCTGAACTGCCGATGGTCACCCGCTGCCACAGTTATGACATCAAGTACAAGTTTCAGTACCAGTGCACACGCTGTCAGAATACGTAAGTGCTAATACAATGTTTATTTGTCATTTTCAGTTTGAGCATTTATTATAACTATATATATTATTTTCTATAGGATTGGGCGCCATTCAAAATCACTTGACACAGAAAGGTTTGTGTGTGCCCTCTGCACGGGAAAACTGGTGTTGCTTAACCCCTCGAAACCACGGACTCCAACACCTTTTGCTAACTTTGTCAAAGAGAACTATGGAGCTGTGCGACAGGAGTTGGTAGGACAAAGCCATGCCGAGGTGATGCGTAAATTAAGTGCCGACTTTGCCTTGAAAACGAAGCTCAGTCAAAGCTGAGGTAAAACTCTCTTGGCTACAATTAATGTGATGAAATATCTGTAGATGTGGCAGCTAATTCAAATGTATATATTATAGCATATTCTGATAACTGCCAAATCTGAGCCATGTATTTGATTATTGTTCTGTTGCTGTTTGTATTGTATGAAATTAATTTTTATTGCTGTTAGTCCTATTTCATACAGAATAAATATTATAGTTTTATTAAAAATTGTTTCAATTGCAAACTAAAAAAGAAGTGCAAATTGTTTTGATATAATTTATGATTTGCTTAGACTACTTGATCGTGCTAATCCCCTGCAGTTATTTGAATGATTTAGTCCGTGGACAAAAGTTGCATGTGCATTTTTAATTGGCAAGGTCAGTACAAGTATGATAATCAACAAAGAAAAGTGTGAAGATTGTAATGGTTGTGCAGAATCCATTTCAGTGGTTATGAACTCCCTTTAACTTGTGGTGTAGGCACAAATTGACACGCAGCACTGAGGTGGGGCATCACCTGAGACGGCTATCCAAAACAGAATATAACACAAAACGGCAATATAATCATTACAAAAATGGATTGTACATAGGCAGGCACACTTGAAAATATATTAAGATTTTTTTTTTTTTAACAGTATAAACTCGCAATGACTGGCACACTGTATCTTGCAATATACTAAATAGCATTGTAATATTCAGATTTTAGGCATTTTTAAAGACTTTTCATATGGCACAATAATAAATGAGCAGCAATAACATAATTAATTCAAGGCAACTTATATTTGCCTTCATACATCGGTCAGTACAGGCAGGTTTTCTTCATGATGCGCAGAAACTCCTGCTGGTTCACTTCTCCATCTCCATCTCGGTCCGCCTCATCAATCATTTCCTGAAAAAAGCATGTTTCATTGAAAGTGCCTGTATTAACTCATCTATGGCCATATAAAGACAAAAATCTCTTTTTAAGTTATACCTGCAACTCTTCATCTGTGAGGTTTTCTCCCAGCTCTTTAGCAACCCTCTTCAGATTTTTGAATGAGATTTTGCCTGTTTCATCATCATCAAAGAGTCGGAAAGCTTTTAGGATTTCCTCCTTTGAGTCTTTTTCAGCCTAAATCAGATGCATACTTCAATTAAATATTAATAATAGTTATTTAATTATATAATGTTTAAGTATTTTATATTAGGACTGCAAAGTATACAGCAATCAAATCGAAAATACAAGTTTAGTTGGAGTTATTATGAAATTGCACAAGATGAAACAAAACAAAATATCCTTTCTATAGAAAAACCTTGTTTACCTGTAATTTAGACCTCTACAAACATGATCTGAAGTTGATAAAATTTTCAGTTCATAGTTATAATATAATCACTGGAGTTATAAAGCGCATCCTGACTTATATTATCTTTACACTATATGTTTAAAAAGTAGATTATAACTACTGTCACAATTAGATTTTTTCCCAAAACTGTGCAGCCTTGTGTTAAATGCAACCACCATTTTTTGTGTCATAACAGCCAGGAAGTCGGTGAAGGAGATCTTTCCGGTGCCTTCCTTGTCCACTTCATTGATCATCTTCTTAATCTCCTCTTTCTTTGGTTCAAACCCCAGGGCCCTCATTGCAACCTGACAGGTACCAAAAAGAAAAGCAAATTATCACAAGAAGAATCGCAAAATAGATATAATAGAGCCGTCCCACTACCTTGAGCTCTTTAACGTCAATAAATCCAGATCCATCCGTGTCAAACAGCTCAAAGGCCTCCCTGATCTCCTGTTTTTGCTCCTCCGTCAGCTCTGGTTTGGGGCTGGTCTTCTTGCGCGGAGGTGGTATGGGACCCTGTAAGGAGGGTCTCTTTGCACTGGTAGCCTGATTATTAAAAAACAAAAACATTGAACGTGTATGATGCAATTAAGAATGTGCCAAACAACAGAATGAGGAAAACCATAATAACAAGCACATCAATAAAGCGTGTCTTACCATTATAAGGCGAGTAGGGCAATAACGTTGATCTCTGTGTCTTCAGCTGAAAAACCCTCCCTAACATTTAGATTTCAGACCAGGTTGCTTCGTATCTTCCCTAATATGAGTCGTTTGGATCGAACTGAAATGGCTCTCAGATGATACTAGTCTTTTTGTTTATTTCTACTGGATGTAGCCTAAAAGGGGAGGATAAATACGTTTTTTTCCTCACAACATCCAGCAGCGCCTGTCATGGAGTCTGTGCGTTGGATTTGTGCACCGGCGACGCTCCACGGGAATTTGGCTTAACTGTAGTTTGCTCTATGGTTCATATGGGAGAACAAAACGAACGCATCTGTCGCGCAAAAAGATGATTGGTTGGAATCCACAGGGGAATAAAATGTAAAACATAAGAAAGCCAATTTCAGTTCATTTAAATTGCACATCTTTCTGTCTATAATCGTTTTATGTACACTTTTCTTTTATTACCATAATTTGCAGTTTACAGAGTACCCAGAATTGATATGAGTCTCTCCGCAACGATATCTATGAAATTGTTATTGTTATTTTATTTTCAGCTTATTTTTAACTACAAATAATTTTAAATAGAACTTGATCTCATGTTGCTCATTATTACAATAAAGATTTCTAAACATTTTACTTTGGCAGATCTGTTTAGAAGTCACAGATGTGTGTCATAGACTGTATAGCCTATAATAATATATTCTTTCTCCAGTCTATGACGTGTTGTAGGACAGGCTCTGATAGGCACGCTGTTAATTGTAGGCGGGGCGGGATGTCCTCCGACGCTTTCCATTGGTTAAAACAGTGGCGTCCTTTTACGTACTTTATATCTTATTGGCTGCACATAACGTCACCTTTATTCCGGCTTCTGCTTTGACCAATCATGGAGCTCTCCTCGGTCTGCTCATTTAGGCAGTCCAGCAGGAATTTTGTACACTTTCTGAATTGCAACTTGCAGGCTTTGCTCTCTTGTTGTCATATTTAGAAAGTTAATTGAGTCGCCTGCGGCCACTTTCTCATAATGACCACACGTGTTCGACCGGTGAGTTGTACACTTATTTCTGAAGATAAGCCTTCATCTACCCGTAATACTACTTGTTACAAATTCGTACTAACTTGCAACCTCAAAGTATGGGAATAGAACAGCAATAAACCAAAGAACACCAGTAAATCACTTTCTCCTTTTGTAAAAAGACGTATAGCTTGCATTATTTTGTGGTAATGTTGACTACCAAGCCAATGTTTTATATTGCATACAGAGTAATAAGAGGTGCCTGGTCATTGGAGGATCTGGTTTCCTGGGCAGACACTTGGTGGAGAAACTGTTGGATCGAGGATATGCAGTCTCTGTATTTGATATCCACCAAAACTATGAATTGCCCAATGTTACCTTTCACCAGGGAGACCTTTGTGACAAACAAGTGAGTGTTACCAAAGAACATTTCACGTAATAATATGACTGAAGTGTTAAATCTGATGTTCACTGAAAAACACAAAACACTAGGCAAAGCTTTTTTTGTGAATTATTCATAACCTGTCATGTTTGGTTTTCATTCAAGGCTCTGCTCTCAGCTTTAAAGGATATATCCTTGGTTTTTCACTGTGCATCTCCTGCACCTGCCAGTGACAATCTTGAGCTGTTTGAGAGGGTCAACATTCAGGGCACATGCACCGTCATTCAGGCCTGTAAAGAAGCTGGGGTTCAGGTGAGGCTAGATTATGAGATGAGACATAGTTTGGTTATTAATTGTAAGCTTTACCGTTTTCCTGTAGAAAATGGTTTTGACAAGTAGTGCCAGTGTGGTGTTTGAAGGTAAAGATATAAAGAATGGAAAAGAGAGTCTGCCCTATGCCAAGAAGCCTATTGACTACTACACACAGACCAAGATCATGCAAGAGAAGGTCAGTTTTCTCACATTCATGGTTTTGAAAGGGGTTAGGTGATATTGACAAAATCTGCATTTCAATATTTTACCCAACTCTATTATTACCTCCGCCAAGGAGGTTATGTTTTTGCCGGCGTTTGTCTGTTTGTTTGTTTGTTTGTTTGTCTGTTAGCAACATAACTCAAAAAGTTATGGACCGATTTTGATGAAATTTTCAGGATTTGTTGGAAATGTGAAAAGGAAGAACTGATTTCATTTTGGGGGTGATCCGGAAGAAATCCTGGATTCTGGATCACTTTGAAATTTTAGATAACATTGTGGTAAATGGGGCCAAAAATTTTGTTTCTCAATATCTCGGTTAATTATTTACCAAACCCCATGAAATTTGACTCAGGGATGGACAATGGGATCCTCTTTCATATTCCAAATTGAAAGATACGAGACAAATATTTATGGAAAACACAATTAATATGAGGGGGACTGTAGTCCTTGGCGGAGGTCTGCGCTCTCTGAGTGCTTTTCTAGTTTTTATATACATACATGTACAATGTTTTGACAGTTTTACATACATTCCTAAATCATTTATTAAATCTTTGCAGTTAGTTCTTGAAGCATGTGACAGAGAAAGTGGTTTTCTGACAGTTGCCATTCGACCTCACGGTATCTTTGGCCCACGAGACCCTCAGTTGGTTCCTATATTAGTAGACACTGCCCGCAGAGGGAAAATGAAATTTATTATTGGGTAAGTTATAGAAGTAAAATATTTACTCTAACATTGTGTAATTAGAATGAGGCATTACATTTGTATTTTGTTTTCCTGCAGTGATGGGACCAATCTAGTGGACTTCACTTTTGTAGAGAATGTTGTCCATGGGCACGTCCTAGCAGCTGAGCACCTCAAGGCAGACTCTCCAATTTGTGGAAAGGTTAGCCAGTATATGATGAACATTTAATCATATTACTGGACATTGAAGAACTTTATGTCCAGAGCAGTATGTTTGACTGTTTCTGTTTTTAGGCTTATCACATCACCAACGATGAACCCATTCGCTTTTGGGACTTTATGTCTGAGATCCTGGTGGGTCTGGGATATCCCGCTCCTCGCTACCACCTCCCGTACCTGTTTGTTTATGGGCTAGCTCTTCTGCTATGGATGGTGGCTCTGCTCCTTAGTCCTCTAATCTCCATTAAATCCACTTTTACACCAATGAGAGTGGCTCTTGCTGGAACACATCATTACTACAGCTGTGAACGGGCCAAAGAAGATATGGGCTACTCCCCAGTCATCAGTTTGAAAGAAGGAATAAAACGCACTGTGGAGAGTTATCCTCACCTCAGACAAGGAGCGTGACTGAAAAAAAATAAGTGATGCTTTTACAATTGTACATTTTAGACACAACAATACAATGAGATGGGACATTTTAAATGCTGCTGATAATGTTTCTAGGACATATTTGCACATTTTTACCACTTGGTGGCAACAGAGTGCTATGATTTTGTATTAAAACTATGGATCTAAAACTGCCCACTAATTGTTAACCTGCAATAGTGTGTCTGAAGCAGGTACCCATGAAGAATTCTACATTAGAAATATAACAGTAATTCATTACCTGTGTGCTACACTACCACCGCCCGAAGAGTTCATTTTTAGTTAAATAATTATAAAATTTTTATTGATAGTGTAGTAGTAGTAGTAGTAGTAGTAGTAGTAGTAGTAGTAATAATAATAATAATAATAATTATTCGATTATTATTATTATTATTATTATTGTTATTATTGTTATTATTATTATTATCATAACAATAATAGCATTATTATTATTATTAACAGATTTAAATGTTCAGGATACTCAAAGATGCTTTAATGACAATAAAGACATTTGTTTTGTCAAGATTACAAATAATTGGACTGGGTACTGAAGCAAAACTACAATACAAGTAGAAGACATTTCATGCAGCCATTTCAAGATGGTTTCGCTTGTGTTGAGCCAAGTGTTCTGAATGTTTTAATAAAGCTGTCAGTCGATACAACATGGGAGGGGCAATCAAAACACATTCCATTTGCCCTTTCTGCTGTCACCAGTGAGTTAACACCAAGTATTTCTATATTGTACACTGTGTTGTATTTAGAACATTCTATACTCTATTCTATACTGTCTATACTGCATTTAAGTCATTTAATTGTTTTCTTTCTTGCTCTTTAAGGTGAAACGTAATTCCCAGTATCAGTGTGGTGACAAGAAGGTGGGGGTGAAGTTCAGATATTTAACATTCCCTTTAATTCTGCTGTCTCTAAATGATTCACTGCTATAGTCAGACACAGGGCGAGCTGTCGGACTGGTTTTTGGTGCAGGGAACGAGGGACTAAACAGATAAAAGTAAGCTGCGTTCACGCATGCATTGTGTACTCACCAGAGTGAAACTTTGGCTCTCACTCACACATTTCCTCTTTCATCTCCTCTGTCTCGGACAGATATTGTGAAATCTTTTCACACCCTTTCAGATTTATAAAGGGCACAAAATATGTGCCCAGCATGTGTTCATTTGTCTTTGCTCAAGCGGTAAGCTGATGTCAGACGTGGAAAGTAACTGGATACTCAAGTAGTTTTGTACACTGTAGTTGAAAAATCTTGAGAAAACACAATGTTACAGAATCAGTACTAGTATAATATAGTACTGCTAGAAATAGAAAATGTAATAAAACTTACTATATATTTCTGATTTTATTTTACACTTAATTTGTATATACAAAATGTATTTTGAGTATCAATACATTTAAATCAGAATAGCTGTAAATTATTATTATTTTTTCTCATTTTGGTCTTCTCTATTACATACAAAACATTGTATTTTTGCATTTTTTGCAAATATTAAATGCTGGAATAGACCACTACTTTGTACCTCTACATTTTTGGCTACTGTACCCACCTCCATGCTCAAAAATCTCTACTTAAATACATCTTTAGTAACAGTATTATTAGAAGAAAGAACACTGTTATTATTACACATATTTCTGTCAACACTCAAATATGTTTACATAGAATACAGGTGCAGTATTATGGCATTTCACCTTTTCCTTTGTCATAACGCAATAATTATTGCTAGTTATTATAGACATCAACTTGTTGACCTAAACTTTCTTTAGAATCACAAGCATTCTCATTTGAAACAGACAACGGCTGGTTTCATGTTTGTGGCATTCCTCCCCTTAGTTTATGTTTTCTTTGATCGCATCTTGATGATGCTGCTGCTCCTTCTCTCTGTTTTCATTCTCAGCAGGGCGGTAGCACAACATTCCCAGTGGAGACGTTGCTATGTGCCACTTAATTTGTACATAACCCATGCTGTGTGCCTGCTTTCCATTCGCAATCCCCCGTCCACTACTCGACTCTTCTATCTAATAATTGTCTTCCTTGTGTGTCAGGTATTGCTCATTGCTAACACAGCTCAGATGTAGTAAACAAAAAACTGTCTTCTTAGCAACATCTATTACGCATACAGAAGAATCAGTTGCACACACATACATAGGTAAACGCAGCTTGCTCCACCCCACATCTCGCCTCTGGACTTGTTTAGCTTGTTACGCCCGTACCTGCTCACTATTGCAGGGACCAAGGCACCTGTCAACCACACTGTTTGATTTCACGCTCATAGGAGTCCTGCCACAGGGCTGACCAAGCACACACCATCTGGATAGCAACTCTTATTTGGGTATGTACCAAAAACTAAGTAGATTTTATGCATAAATGTAAAGCAGGAAAAGTGATCAATCATCATATGTAAACCTTGAATATATCTTCATGTTTGCACTTCTGTGGGCGTTTCTCCACAATGATTGTACAGTTGACTGTCGTGTTTTAACTTTGGCACTGCTTTTCATTAATCATTTATCTATGATGTCCTAAGACATGGGCAAATATGTCCTCTGAGCCCTAGGTGTATTTGTTTAAGCACATATTCGATTCAGCATTCTTAAAAATACTTGCTCAATGTGATTCACTGTGCCCAAGGAATAAAAAAATCAGTTACATTTGCATTTTGAGTTTGGCTGTTGCACAAGTTTGCATTTGCTTGAAGCCAGTGCCTGTGCCAAGATAAAAGAAGGCTCAATTCATTAATATTTCTTATATTAAGTGTTCCCTAAGGACAGGTTTTCCAGTGAGCACAAGTTGATTTCTTTGCTCATTTGGAGGGGTTTAATGCAGTTGTTCACACATATAATTTATTCCTAATTTAACTCATATTAAGACAATCTGGAGGATCCGTGTGGCTTTTCATGTAAGGTAAATGTGATGTTTTTTGGAAAGTGGTAGTACAGGATAAACAGCATGTCTCAAGTGTGAGATGGAAGCATTCCTTTCTGTGCACATTTTTATTGGTGGAGAGCATAGTGTGGGAATAAGCTATCACACTTCACGTAACCAACAACATTTTTTATATTTTTTGTCACCTTTAATTTTTATTTAATTTCAGGACTTTTTCAGACAAAAGAAGAACCATGTCAAATGGTAAGCACCAACATCACACATCTGAACTGATTATTGGTCAAATGTACTGTATTTGAACAATAGACGCGTGTGGTTTTGTCTTAGATGGGGACAAAGCTGCTGTATTTAAAACTACTAAAGTCCGGACCAAATTGAGAGGGGATAACAGCTGGTTACAGCGCCACTCTGATACCCAGCCTGAAACACAAGAAGATAAACCCTGGTAAGAGCAAATGGTGCCTTACATATCAGTAAAAGCAAGAATTATGTGGTGGTCTATAATGATGAAGTAAAGCTGAAATCGTCTTAAAGTCAAACTTTTGCTATCCATTGCATAATGATCTATTCTGGTTAATTAAGAATTTGCCTGTCTTGTGCTCTGAGGCATCTTAATAATGTTCAAAAGAATATAGAGAGTGGTCCATGTTCAATATCTTCTGTATCCTACCTCAGATCATGGTATATCATACTAGTGCATCTATCTCCATGTTAGTATAGTGATGCATTTCTTTAACCACACTTTTTCGAAACGTTTGTCCATTTGGCATCAGGCATAATTGGGTATCAAAAAAGATGTCAGTGCTAAGGCTGTCAAATAAATAATTTTAACTTTAACTTTAAGCTCTTCCAATAAGGTCTGCTTATGACTGATTATGATTAGCCCCAGACTTGAGCCTGTTGCCAATTCATAAAAGTTAATACATTTTTGACCCATTAACAGGATTGCAGAAGTCAGAGCCAGCCGCTTGAATGGAGCCAACGTTGAATCAAGTCCAGTGTCTTCACCAATCCAATCCTCTCCATCACCCCGCCCTACCAGCACTGAACGGTAAACTATGCCCTTCATGGGATACTCACACAAGTACTTAGTAACCTCATTATATTACATACTTCTAAGAAAACATGTTTCTGAACCAGATCACCCACATCTGGATTTCTGATCAGGTAACACATTTCTTTTCATAGCTTATATATATGTATATATATATATATAATATGCAGGAAATAAAAAAGATGTAGGTGTATTGGTTGAGCTACATAAGGTATTGCTATTCATTATTTGTTTTGTATATAGGGGTGTATTTACTAAAACAGAGAAACCACCAACAGCATCCAATGGCTACAGGTATGTGTTAAAAGTTATATAGTCTAACATATTGGGTATTACACATCTCCTCATAAGGAATTTTGTGTTTGTTTATTTGCAGTGGAACAACTCAATTTACCAAAAAAACATCTGAGACCTACAAAAAAATGTGAGTACTCAAATCCTCAGTTCACAGTTGGCACAAAGGCTGTATTTTGATAAAGTGTGTTTTTGTCCCTTAGAGCCCCGTACACTGTGAAGAAAACCGCAGAGAACCAGGAGGGCCAGCTCAGCACGGAGGAGCTGGAGAAACGGTAAGAACACTAAAGCTGAAATGTTTTTCTCAAGATTCATTTTGTTTGTTGGTGTTGGATCAATGTTTATATGGCATTTTCAATACTATTTAAACTAGGATTATGGGCCATTTTTAATCATGACCTGTGAATAATCTCTGGCACAGGACATCTCACTAATGTTATATTAAGAAATATACATTTGTAAATAGAAGAAAGGTTCACTGTGTAACATGTATTGTTGGTGGTTACTGGTTGGGTGTTAAGGCTGTTTGTCTCCAGATTTTCTTTGTAGGTGGACAATGGGTGATTTAGAAAAAGAAAAGGTGTTGAACATATAAAATGCCCTATTTTGCAGAACGGAGGCAGCCAGTAGTGTGTTGAACAAATCTGCAGCAAGACAGCGTTCTTATGTACTATCTGCAGCAAAGATATACGAGTATGTACATTTAAACATAATTCTGGATTAGTTCATTCATTATACCAAACTGACATAAATGATTTGTCTATTTCCATTTAGATCTAAAGACAAAACCCCAGACCTACTGGTTAACAGCACTTCATCATTTGTGGCTCAAAGGTAGACATTAGTATTTTCTCCTCAACCTAAGATCATCCTCATCGTCCTCTCTCTGACCAAATAATTTCATATTTATTTTTACATTTCCTGTTATATGACTCTACCTCAGCCCTAAACTCTGCTCCACTTTATGTGTCTAAACCATCTTATTCTAGCTTGTTTGCTGTTGTCTCTTACACAGAATCTAACGTTTTGTATTGTTGTTTGTATTGTTTGTCAATTCAGGGTTGATATTATAGATGATGAAGAAAGCAATGCGTCTCCCTCCACCACCACAAGTGTTACTCCTCTGCCCAAGGCTCAAACATTGTGAGACTAATCCTTCTTTTTCATTAATTTATTTAATGACTGTACGATTTAATCACATACCACTCATTGCTGGCATACTTTGCAGAGTCAACACAAGTTCAACAAAAATTGAGATAACAGAGGAAATTAAGACAGAAGAAGTAAAAGTAGAGGAGAAAGCCCCAGAAAAAGACCCATTTGAAAATATGGTACCAGGATGCACAAAAGTAGCCACTCCTTTGCCAGAACTTATTCCTGATCTGGTCCAAGCCACATACGTCAAAGCTGATGACTCAGGTGAAGTCAAGCAGCCTGTATCACTTGTAGTAGAACCAGCTCCACCCTCTCCACCTGCCACCCCGCCACCACACACTGTAACAGTGGACTCCATTGTAGTAACGACAGAGGAGATTGTGAAGACAGAACCAGAGAAAAAAGGTCTACAAATAAGGTGAGTCTCAACTCTCAACACATAAATGTATGTCTTAAACTGAAGTTGAACCAAAGTCACCATAAGGTAACTGGGATTTAGACATTATCCAGATGTCTGTTCAGCAAATTCCAAATATGTATAATGTCTTGTTTTAAACCACTTTGTCTTGAACAACTAAGTTCATTTTACCAATTTTGTACTTTTGTGAACTGGGAATAAAGAGTTAATATAATATTTCATCTTAGGTTTTCAGAGCTATGTATTTCTAACCAGCCTTTTTGTTGCACTATGCAACTTTTATGATGGGCAGTGTGCCACCTGCTTGTCCCCATGAAAGATGTGTGATTTGCCTGAATTCTCCATGGAGAGGTTCAGTTCACAAATATAAAATCCATGCTAAATTTGTTAAATTACAGTGGATAATTCCAGGAAATGCTATAACATCTCCATGGAGACAAGGAGACAAGGAGAAAAGTCTCATAGTACATATTTAAAGAAGAAAAGCCTGTATGTTCACTCAAGGAACAAGCTTCCTCATTCATGTCAGAGTAGTTTGTGTACGTACCAGGCATTCCATGTGTTTACCTTATTAGACCTCTAACCACTCACAATGAACTTATATTGTGAAGATATTGTGTGTAAATATGTACTATATATGTCAAAACAACTGAAAATTGCTGCTCTTTCTTGCAGCGTTGAGCCTAAGTCAACTCCTACAGTCAGTAATGTGGAACCACTAACTGATGATTTGCTGGGTCTCAACGACAGGTTTGTATGACACAGTATATCCCTCTCAAGATGGCCTGTCAAGATATGAACACTAGGTGGCACTGTTGGACTGCTGTCTTTAGAAATGTCCAATAAATAAATTCACTTTTTTTTTTTTTTTTTTTTACTAGCACAGAGTTGGTTTCCCTTGTCCCTCCCAGTTCAGGACCTTGGAGTCAAGATCTGCTTAGCCCTGTAGAAAGGTATAGTATAGGAACAAGTATTTCCCACCGACATCCAAACACTGTGTATAAGTATTATTATTTCATAAGTTGAAAAATCAATACTCCTCTAAGCAAGCAACCTTTACTTACCTTTATAAGATGGACTGACTGACTGCCAGGATAGAAAGTATGGGTTTATAACTGTGTCTTTGTAGTGAGAAGCCAGCACCTGTCAAACCTAGCAGCAGCATTGTCGACCTGCTGTCAAATGAGGACATTGTAGTCACAGAAGTGCATAGGTGAGAGTGACTAATTCTAATCACATGGTGTCCCTGGGATAATGTCCTCCAATAAAGCTTCGCTACATGAAAGTCTGATCCCTCATTCAATGCTTTCAAACATCTTATCTGCACTTTATTCAGTGTTTTGATTAGTATTGGCTTTCTTTTGTCTTTCCCAGCCTCAGAACACAGCCAGTGGAGGAGACACAGCCAGTGACAAAATCACAAAGGTGACTAAATAACAAGCCCTTCGTAAACAATTATCTGTCAATGCACCACCAAGGAACGCATTGTATCCAAATTTGTCTTGTGATGATTTTTAAAAAGTCTTTCTCTTTCTCTCTTTCTCTCTCCCTTTCGGTCTTCCAAGCGTCACAGAAACAGTCACAATAACTACCAAAACTGTGATCATTACTGATGAAGGGTAAGGGGACAGTCTGATCCATGCTATGTTGGGTTGTCAAAAAGACCTTTCTGCCATTGTAAATTCTGTATGAGGCAAACCACGCTAACCTTTGCTCCTCCTCCTTTCTCCTTTTATCATGCCATTCTTCCGCCTTCTTTTTTCCATGTCTCCATCGCTGTGCAGTGAAGAGGAAAGAGCAGATCCCCTGAGTTCACATGTGATTACCACAGTGACTGAATCCAGGTACTTAATTACACAGCAACGTCACACCCCAGTCCCCAGTCATTCAATACTATTACGAGCCAACTACACACTTTTCATTATAACCCTCAGTAGGAGTTCACTTGTTAATTTTAGACTGAAATTAAGCATAATCTGTTTCACTGCTAGTTGCTCCACAGAAAGTTTATTTTTAAGTTTTAGTTTATTATATTTGTCTGCAGGATTGTCTTACGTGTGTTATGTAAAAATTGATAAAATGTATGATCTAATCAATTTAATAAGCACTGCCCAATCAGAGTTTATTTCAGGTGAAGTGAAAAGTGTTGCCACTGAGAAGACAACTTGTATTTCAATTTGTCAATTACATCTCTAATTTTGATTTACTTTGGCCCCGTTTGTTTACTATTCAGAGTGCAATAAATCTTTCCATTATGAGTCATTGTGATCAGAATTCCTCTGACACAAGATGGGCCCTGCTGACAATCGAGAGTGAAATCAGTGTGAAATTGTTTTTCAGCTCGACTGATCCGTTTGATCCATATCCGATCGGGACCACATCCTCTAACAGGTAATCATATTGGTTCTGAGCTGTGACTGTTTTCCAGCCAGATAGCATCTCGTCATGCATAATGCAGCACTTTCTGATTATGAACCACTTTTCTCTGTTGCAGCTCCTCTGACCTGCTCCAACCTCTGGCAGACGTTTCCATCAACAGGTAACAGCACTGGTAGCGTAAAAGCACCATTACTCTCTCGTAACTTTGCTTGAACCTTGATACTACTACATGTGTACATAAAGCCTTGTTGCTACCTCTCATTTGTGTTGAAGCTTGTTAAATAATTATTATTTATAATGAACAAGCACAACCCCAGACCCACATGCAATTTGCATACTGATTTAATCATTATATTCAATTTCTCCTCTTTTTCAGTGCATCAGACACATCTGTCAAGACCAAACAGCCCACTGCAGAAACAAAGTAGGTTTTTCTTTAGGTGTTATTAATATATAGTGGTATTAAGAAGTATTATATGCCAGGATAGAAATGTCCTTCAGGAGCTGAGAATTTTCTAAAATGACTACTTGCTATAATTTGTATCTTTTTGTATTCATCAGTATGAGTGGTAATGTCCTGGATTCCCTCTCAGATGACGTCATCCCATTCAACACAGAGGCAACATCAAGGTATCCAAATGTAACGTGGGTTACATTATTAAATGCACAATTGTCTAAACTACTATGGAAAGGAAAACTTGAATATTTTTATATTTTATATTTTGGCCTTAACTGCTCTGATTATATAATTTTTCCATGTCTATGTGTACCTTTTTGTGAATAACAACATTACTGCTCTATACTCAAGTACATTTCTTTTATCTTATCTTACAACATTACTTTCAGCAATATGATTCTTGACATCAAAGAAAACTTGAGTTGACTTGAGTCAGCAGCACTATAATTCTTCTTTCATAGACACTTATGCCCATTATGAACATACAAGAACTGTCTCATGTCGTTTGTGCCATAACTTGTCTGTGTCCACTTCACCTCCTCAGCCTGAGCACTCATCGTTCGTGGGCACGCACATGGGAACCAGAGGAGCCAGAGAGCACAGAAGAGAGGTGATGACACACTTACACTACTATTATACTGCCAACACAAAGTCATGTTTCATTCATCTTTATCTCGCCACCCGTGTCCATTACCCTCTAAAAGCCTTTCAATGTCTTCTCTTAGCCAAGAGGCGGCAGAAGCAGAGGAGGGCCAAGATGGAGACCAGCAGACAGTGATCATGTTCGAGAGGAAGTATGCTTTATATTGAAAGCTTTGGATACATAGCTGGCCCATTTATTCTCATAACTCCCCTTCTCTTTCACTATGAGTGACTTTTCAAAGCTCTTAAGTCGCTGAGCTGGAAAACATTGTGCACTGGTGCTGATAGAAATGGGTCAGATAGAGTAGAGACAACCACAGTAAACAGATCCCCCCTTTGTAGATATATCTAACAATAAAGAGTACAATTGTTGTCTACTGGTGCAACAATATGTTTTTGTTTCTCCCGAAGGTCGAGCGAAAATGACTCCCCATGGGACAAGTGGACGTCACCGACTGTGTATAGTATCAGCAACGAGGAAGAAGATGAGGAAGAGGACTATGCCATGTAAATATCCATGAACCTTTCTTATAATGTGTAAAAACACACTGTCTGCCCAGACAATTTTAGAATTCGATATATATCGTAAATCATACATACAATAAAACCTGTCCTATCTTGCATGGTTAAACTTCATATTTAATCTGTTCTGTTATGAATGAATATAGTGTGTCTTTTTTAGAGCAGTGCTAATCTACAACCAATCTAATACTTGATCTTTTAATGAATAAAGTGTATGCTTTAAGTACTCTTTTATACTAGTTCTATCACATCTTGATAAAGTATTTGCACTAGTTTGTTAATAGTCAAGTTAGTTATATTTTTCTTTTTCTAATCATCCTGTTAATATTACAGAGATACAGAGACACAAATCATAACCACGGTCACCACTATTAGGTAAGTAAAACCAAATATTTCAGACTACAAATCTGGCTAGTTTTGTATGAACAGCACAATATATGTAGGAGAGTTTTAGTATTGCACACTGCAGCAGCATAATAGACTCCAGACTGCACCTGGTCAATAAAGCTGACCCCTGAGGAGAAGTGAGTCAGAGATCAGCGTCATTCACTTATAAAAACTGCACACTTTTCTGCTCATGTGTTGCCTTCACTATTGACTCCAGCAGCCCAAGGTTTTAGGTTTAATACTGTTTTTTTTTTTTTTTTTTTACTTTCCAGGGAGACACACAGTGAGCCGGAGCCTAGCATGGATCGGTAAGTTTATCATTTTGACAGTGCCGAGACCCAAGTTCATGCTAGGATAATTCTGCTATTTTATTTGGTATAGGTGAAAAGATGATCAAAATTCTGCTCTAAAATGTTAGTGTTTCCCATCTACTCGATTATTATTAGTACTGTATAGTATAAAAAATACATTATCAGAAGACATATTCTAGTTTTTTGTTATGAAAAATAATAGTCAGCACACCTAAAACCCTAAAATGTAAAAAGAAATATTGTAATGTGAGTACTACTCGGCTTTTATGTTTATTTTTATTTATTTTTTTTACACAGAACCACCTGTTAACCTATCCTACTTACCTGTTTTCTCTATGTAGGGTGAATGTGTTACACAATTGAATCCAGTCCAAAGTGTATTCATTATTTTGTACTATTTTGCCTTTTCAAAAATTTTCTTTTCCTTTGAGGATTGTGTTAGTTATACAATGAGAGATTTAGGCCAAATCCTGTGGGAATGCAGCTGCCTGGTGGAGATAAACTTACCTGCAAATTGTTCGCCTATTTAAATTCATACCATGTTAAATGACAAGATCTACTATCCCATTGTCTTTCACTTTACCCTCATTTTCCTGCCTATAATTATCAGTTTCCAGATGTCAAATTAATGATGTGCATTAGAGATGTCCCTTTGTCAAAGCACAGGCCATTAAACACTGCGTCATTACCAAGAGCTTGCACAGAATGATTATCTCCTGCTTGACAGATATAGGCCTGTTTTACTATCACTAATCATTTTACTGACATCGCAGTGAGCAAAAAACTAACGCAGCTGTTTTCTGCCCTCAGCACTTTGATAGAGCCAGAAGCAGAAATCAAAAAGTAAGTAATCTATAGCAAGGATCAACCACATAATTATGACCATCTAACATGCTGACCATGGGAGACAGAGCCTTCTATGTCCAAACCCATACACTCTGGAGCACTCCTGACACACAAACAAACTGTGGAAACCACTGATCACTTCAAATCACATCTCTATACATTCCTGTTTAATCTGGTCTTTAATCCCACACAACCACTCCCATATATGTGTTCTTATGTGTGTATGCACGACTGTGTTCTGTGTGTTATTGTGAAAAGTTATATAAATGAAAGGTATTATTATTCTTAGTATTATTAGGACATACTTAATCCATATATTTATTTTCTTTAGGCCATTTGTTTATGTTAAGGAGTATGTCAACACATCTGAACTGTCCCTACTGAATGCCAGAGATACTGACAGGTAATTTGTTTAACTAACTTCTCAAAGGTAGGTTATGTAGTCTGTGCTTTTTCCAGTTTGAAAAAGGTAAGATACTACAACTCACAAGTAAACCTGGTTTGCCACTTGCTTATTGTGGATATTGATGAAAGGTGACTCATGTGAAAGCTCAGAACCTCCACATCAAATCAGAGGCCATTTTTTATTTAAACCAAGTGTTCTTGTCATTGGATCTGGAACCTCAAGTGTGAGGCTCATACTGATTTCTTATTGGACAATCATCTTGAGAACCAAAACAGCCAATGACAACATCAAAAACTTCTCCATTATGTCCAGTGTGTTTATAAATCAGCGTTAAAGTTGTTATCAGTAGAATTGATATTTGATTTGAACATGTTTGCCTCATTTTGAGACAGATTGGTCTTGTTCATACAGTTTGAAAATATAAATTGTTAATCACCTACAGCATCATATTGTGTTTATATTTATAATGGTTATATCTAATTGTATTTTTGTTTTATAGGTCTGATTATTTGACGTCAACATCTACCAGTTACTCGTACAGCAGCCCCACTTACTTGAGGTAATAACACACAAATCGGAAAACCGACATAAGCCAGTCTTTAGCTCTAATCCCAAGTTTTTTCTGTACATTTAAACCATATTTTTATAAGCAGTTCAAGACACAGAATTCTTCAAAGGCAGATTTTAAGAGGGCTCAGTCGGGGCTTCAGAGGATTATTTACACCTACAACCACAATAGGATAGATATGGTCACAAGGGTTATTCCAGTAAACTGAGCATCGCTGAACCAACCTGTCTCACTGTGTCTCTCCAGTGGCTCGCTGTCATCCAAGTGCACATTCTGTGGGGAGCAAGTGGGCAATGACTCCAAGATTACCATTGACCATCTGAACATCAACTGCCATCCTGAATGCTTCAAGGTAAATTTTTATCACACAGTATAAACTTTTCTGATGAAGGTTCCACAACTTGCTTGTCTCTGTGGAAATGTAGAATTGCCTAGACTCTTCCACAGTATGGCAGTATATCATGCATTTATAATGTTACAGTTGTGTTTATAAAAACATGCATTCTTACTGTAGAATGGATCATCTCCCCACAGACCTAACCTTAACATTATTTAAATAAAAGTGTTGAGTTGACATGCAGATTAGTAATCACATATGTGAAAAGGGTTGTTGCCACTGAGTACTGATGAAACAACTTGGACATAAATAATATAAATCTACTGAATACAGTCTCACATCTTTAAATGGTTTGAAAACAAAAAGTTATAAGTATAAGATACCTTTTTCAACAAGCACTCAAACTAATTATCTTTCTCTATTTCAAGAATTCAAGCGTTTTTCTTCTTCCTTGTTCTGTTAATTGTGTCCTTGAATCTCCCTAACTTTTAATTTCAAAAATGAAAAACTACAGCATCTTTGTTTTTTGTTAATTAAGTTTCTATGGTAACCCTTTTATAATTTCAGTGTGGCATGTGCAGTAAACCTATGGGAGACCTTCTTCATAAGATGTTCCTTCATGGAGGGAAAGTCCACTGTGAGATTTGCTACAGAAATGCTTTGGACTGATTATAGATGGCCTCTTGTGCGGCCTCTTATGCTCTGGCCTTTCTCTTGTTCATTAGTATACAAGGAACAATTGTTCGTTTAAAAAGTTTGGACTAAGATGAGTCTAAACTTGATGTGGTTGATGGTGATCAAGGAGACCTTTTCGAACAATATGACTATGAATGTTTTTTCTTGTGTTAGGTCAATCTGAGATTATTTTCTTTTTTCATTTCGGGGGAAAGATGTCTGCCTCTGTCAACTACAGTATGAAGGATATGTCTTTAAAAGTGCATGTTACAATGCAATACAATACAATTATAATTACAAATTCATGGGGTTTATTACAGCTGGTTACTATTTTAATGTCATTTTTCTGTTCATGAAATTGTTTATTGTTCAATGCTTTGTTAATAAATCTTGTTCTTTCTAATACAAATTGTATTTGGTAAAAAAAAACAAAAAACTAAACAAAACAAAAAAACAGATGAGTTTACGTTTATACTGACTCATAAGCTTCTCAAAGCTTTTTTCATTTACTCACTCATAATTGGTGAAGGTGAACCATTATAGGTGATTTTGCCACTGGTCTGCGCATAAGGTTTGCAAGTGTTTTACGGCATCAGCATGCGTGCCCTCAATGTAGGTTGCCAAATATAAAAAAAAAAATACAGAAAGATTACAAAGGTAGTAAGTCATATGAGGTGGTCATCAAATACAGCTGGCATACCAGCATTTATGAGAGCATGTATGATCAAATCTACAAATCCAGCCATGGTCATACATATTAGAAAACATTTTCAAAAAGCACATCATAGTGCTACTTAAAGACCTTTTGGATGAGCTGAGGAATACTTTCAACAAGTAATGAATTTTTATTAAATTAATTCCTTTGTTGAATATTTTACTTGCATTTCCTTTTAAATCACTTTGCACATTTGGAGTGTGCTTTTGGCTCATGGGTATTTGCCACCTGCAGAGTATAAAAAAACAAATGCAGTGCTTCACACAGCTAGACAGGCTCCCTGGGTATTGAGGACAAATCATGGGGTATTTCCAGTCTAAAATATGTGCCTCCCATGAGAATAAACTATAGTGTATTACTGCAGTGACAGAGCAGAAGAAATTATATGCATGTATGCCTATTTTAGATATTTGAGACTTATATGTAACAAAAAAACAACAGTTTATTTGGGCCCAGTTTCACTCAAAATGAAATGCTTATTGCTTTAAAACACAGTACATTTTGTTTCAAATTCATATCAAATGTATTGTCTTGTCTTGGTAAAAAATAGTTTTCAGCATTGTAACCATCCTTCAGTACCTCAAAGGCAAGCTTACCGAAGCACAGAATAGGCAAATGGGCAGCACAAAAAAACTAATGGAAATATAATAATATCCATCTCACTTTGAACTGACCACTAATTATTTCAAAATAACTTAAAAAAGCATGCTTATAAGAGTCGATTGTATTTGCTATAAAAAGTATAAACACTTAATAAAGTGGTTTATCTGGTTATGGCACATTTCAGTCACTGAAATAGAGGAATAACTGACAGTGAATTGAATAATTGAATGACAGTGGCTCCTCAAGATTTCAGCCACCATCAGTGGGGTCTCCTGGCTCTGCTCACAGCGATGTTTTGGATGTGCTTCCACAGCAATGAAGGGTCTGATTCGTTATGTCTTATCAGAGACTCCAGCCCCTCGGCTTGGTCCAGGCTCTGCCAGTAATCCTGAGGCCATATTTGCAACCATCTGTGGAGAGATACACAAACAGATAAGGATCACTATACGGAGCATTTGGTTAGCAAGCATTTTAATTAGAACACTTAAGTAATTGTACCACCCATATTATTCAAATAAAAATTATATAGACTTTCACTGAGCAAAACTGTTTCTATGTCAAGCTTACCCGTCATCTTCTGGCAGGTCCTGAACATCTCCATACCCAGGCTGAGGGAGTGGACACCCCATGTGAGAGTTATTTGCCATTTTAGGTGGTGGTGGTTCACCACTCTGGACTTTTTTGTATGCTTTTTCTGCTGCAAGTCTCACATTCTCCTGATCACAGACATAACATTCAAATCCATTTAGATAGTTTGGTTTACTCATGTCATTAACTCCCCATTCACGGGTCTCTAATGCCTCCAATAATTTAGTATTGGTTATACTCTTTGGGTTCTTAAATTGCAAATATTTTTCATATTCCTCATCATTCTCATCCAGATATTTGATAAAGTCTGCAAGTGCTTTTGGTGAAGGGAAGTCATCAATGATTATCACGGAGTGCTTGTTCGGCATCCAGTCTGCCACCACTGCAGAGCCCCGATATATGGGCACACAGCCTTGATGAAGAGGCCGCCACAGCTTTTCAGTCATGTAGTCTGGACATACGCCATTCTCCAGTGCCAAATGAAACTTGTACCGTGCTACAAAGCTCATGAAATTTGGATCCTCTCCAGTGGCAGTGGATGTGTCCTCTAGATGTTCAGGCATGGGTTTGTTGTTTAGGCATTTCCCATAGGAATCCACCTGATATGGAAGAAAAATAACAGAATGCAAACTGGAGAGCATTTAATTGCATATACATAAAATAAACAATACATTTTTGTATTACTTCAATGTACTTCATGAGCTCCTGGATATATCGGTCTCTGTTGGAAGGCACATCGCAGTGAGACTGCATGTACAGCACAGGGGCCAGGCCCTCTCTCCTCAAACGGTTCTTCTCCTCCAGAGGCACAGATGTGGGCCTGAGCAGGTAGTCCAGAGAGGGCAGCCATTGCAGGGTCAGGGGGTAATCAGACTCCCTCCGAAAAGTAGCAGTATAATTAAACAGTCGGATTCCCGGTCCATGTGAGAGGAAGTAATTATTCATGGGCGACTCTTCGTGGAAGAGGGCCCAGGTTTGGTGCTGGAGTCGAGGGAGTGGTGCTTCATATGCACGGAAGTCTGTGCCATAGAAGATAATAGATGCAGTCCTTTTGTACAGCTGGACCTATTAAAATAGAGATAATTAATCTCTGAATACATACAGAGTGAATTAAAATATTTCAGGCACAACTTTTGGTGTGGAGAGCAGAATACCTTGCGGTTGCTTGTCACCAGGCATGAGGACTTGGCACAGTCAATGCGTTCAGTGTCTCCAGGGAAATGTGGGAACAATCCTCCGCTCCACCAAAGCAGAATGGGCAGCTCCTTGTTGCTGCGGTGGTCATTGTTGCCTGGACCTCGATATGAACTGATGGAGGCAAACTCCATCTCTGATAGAGCGCTCTGGGGCTGAAAGGCTGCATGGTCCACTGCCTCCCAGGCCCCTAAGGGCATCTGTTCATCCGCTAAAGAGGCAAAGGAAACCCAGACCCAGCACAGGAGGCCAAGGACTCCCAAACACACACAGGGCACGAGCCTGCCCCTCCCCAACATCTGCAAGACAGAGGACGGAGTACATGAACAGTGAAAAGAAACAATCTAACAATTTCAGAGAATGACACATTTGCTGCAATTCTGTTATGTATTGTGATGTTTCAGTACTTTGCTACTCTCTACTATAATATAATCATATGCAAGACATGTTGGTCTAGCAAAATGAGAGGGAATTCTAAAATCACAAAATACATTAGAATAATCCGGTCTCTTACCATAATCAAAGCAACATGAAGAGGCTCTTTGGTCGCAGTGTCATTTCCTCATCCAGCTCACCGCGTTTGCTAACGGGAGAGATGTGACTAGAACTGAGTCTGTGGGACAGAGAAAGAAAGAAACAAACACAGCTGCCGTCTTCTTCGGCTCACAGTTGATGTCTGCTCTCCTGCACAGCGACATCGCCAGGTCCAAAGTAAGAAGTACACACATAAAAGACTTGTTCATAAGAACACAATGCGCAAACACTGACAAGTGTTATAAAAAAAACACACATTAATATCATAGTTGAGCTCAAAGTGTATCTACATGGTCTAGTTTTATCACAGAGAAAACACGTGCGCTTTAGGACCTGGTTACACGCTGTGCCAAGTGCTCTCTTCGGGGGCGCGCACGTCACGACAATCTCAGTCGATGTTGGGAGCAGCCGGGGCAGATAGCGCTTCAAGAGCCGGGTGAGCAGAATTACTTTTGTATAATGCAACTTTTCCATTTGATACCTTCACAGAAATGCTGATTTTTCTTATAAAGTACAGCACAGTGTACGCCGCATTTGCGCATGGTTCGATTATATGCGTTTCTTTACTTTTACGCACATTTGGTCCTTGGCTAACAGTTAGCCTGCCAGGACAGAGGGGAATGTCAACAAGCCATCATCAACCTCAACTGGCCCCGCTTAGCTTGTGAGCATGTTGACCTTTTGCTCGATCCATCAGCGTGTTATATTTCTGATTCAATAATCGAATATATTACTGTTTATCAAAATAATACGACGTGTTTGAAGTTTGGTAAAGAACATCAACCAAGCACTTGGAGCAGCACTTTTCGAATCACGACTGACAAGCTCGTACTTGTTTGTGCTCTGCGCAAGTCCAGTGTCTGATGTCAAGTAACAACAACGGTGACTCGCCCTGTTGTACTCTCTATTGTTGGGAATTGATAATTTCTGTATATTATATTCTTATATTCTATTGGTATTAAACAGCAGTGATCGCAGTGTCTGTCTGCAGTTGTCTGATCTAGGCTGTAAAAATAGTTAATTAAAAATGGTTAACTTATTAATAGTATAGTGATGATTCATTTCCTTTTTGTCTGTTTTCTTCAGTGATGCAAATTGATTTGTTCTCTTTCTAGGTTGTTTTGACCCTGGTCTGCCTCCTGCTCCACAGGCCTTCAGCCCAGGGCCTCATCTGGGTGGGAGCTGTCAGGATGACTGGAAAGAGCTTGTTGCTCAAGGTGATCCTTTTGGGAGATGGAGGAGTGGGGAAATCCTCCTTAATGAATCGGTACGTAACAGACCGTTTTGACTCCCAGTCTTTTCACACCATTGGGGTAGAATTTCTCAACCGGGACCTGGAAGTGGATGGGCGCTTGGTAACTCTTCAGATCTGGGACACTGCGGGACAGGAGCGCTTCAAATCTCTGCGCACCCCGTTTTACCGGGGTGCTGACTGTTGCCTGCTTACATTTGCTGTCAATGATTTGCAGAGCTTTCAAAACCTTGGGGGTTGGAAAAAAGAATTTATGTATTACTCAGATGTGAAAGACCCCGAGCACTTCCCCTTTGTGGTGCTAGGCAACAAAGTGGACATGGATGAGCGAGAGGTGGGTGCGGAGGAGGCCCGGGCATGGTGTGAGGAGAATGGCTGCTGCCCGTACTTTGAGACCAGTGCGAAGGACGACACAAATGTCACTGCTGCCTTTGAGGCGGCGGTCCGAGAGGTGCTGGCCGCAGAGGACCACCTGGACCACACTCTGCTCAGTAGCACTATAGATCTCCATGGTAACCGAAAAACGCCACGTACCTCTTGCTGCTGATTGGTCAGTTACATTGACCTTTTTAAAACTTGGCTGAAGCCTACACATGGCAGGTGTGAAACTTAACATAATTTATGGTACATGTGCATCAGGTACAAAGGTTCTTGAGATGATATGGATACGGTTTATCAGATCTGAGAAGGGCTTGTCAATTTAAGTTTTAATTTAAAGGTACGGTGTATAATGGCTGCTACTTGTTGTGTACTCACCTAGTCAAACTTTGTCTAGGTACGCAGGGAATGTTAAAAGTCTAATATAATAATGGAGATGTGTTTTCATGGTCTATATTTATGTGATATATTCATTTGCTTGGAAAGCACAGTGTATTTTTAGCAAAGCAACAAACAGTGAAAAATTATTACAGCAAAAGTAGTTTAAAAGGGACTTGCCACACAAAATTTTGTCTGTCGTCTTATCAAATCAACCAGTGATATGGTCCATTGTACTGACATTAAAGGGATTACTAGTATTATTTTTGGCTAATGCAGCTAATGAAATTATTGCTGCTCATTGTGTAACAGACTCATTTTAGAAACTACGTGATGCATGTGATTGTTTTCAATAAGTTCATTATTTCACTTGTCAATTTATTGAAACACTGTAGCGATACTTGTATAGGGCAGACAAAGTATCACTGTTACTGCCTTTTTGATGCCACAGATAACTTCTGATGTTTGGTTTTGAAGAAACATTTCACATTATCTGCCTGTTTAGCATGTGCCCTGCTGTCTACAGCTACACTCATGAGACATTTTTATCAGTCTGTACTACTGCATGAAATACATTATGTAGCTGTGCAGCAGTACGTGAAATTATACTTTTATTGCTCACCAATTTCTGTAATGAACTTGAGCATTTATTCCACTTTTTACCTCAACATATGGTTATTTTCGCAGTATTTACATTTTTGTGTTGTTTACAGTTTAGATAGTGTGTCTATATGGTTTACAACCCATCAGTATTTTCAACCTCTCCAATCTTCTCCAATCTTGTGACGTGTAGCATTGTCCTGAACTGTGACATGTTCCCAACATTTCTGAGAGCCAACAAAATAAGCACAAAAGTTCAGTGTTTGTTTTTTTTTTTAAATTCCAAGATCAATCTAGCAATTGAATTGCTTAGTTACAGTATTATAGTATACAGTATAACCACTAGATGCCACCAAAGCTACATACCATAGTATTAACAGACCTCAGGATAACACAGGGAAGTATTTCCTATTAGCCACTGGTTGTGGAATGTTTGCCTGAAGACCGCTAACCAACATTTTTCTCCTATTATTGGTACAATATTTTGTAATCTTTCTCATACAAAATTTAACAAGAAGCCTGAACCTTATCTGTCTTGTTGATGTAAACCTTCATTTGTCTGTGTGTCTTGTGTGCAGAAAAGTACTTTGCCCTCTTCTAGTTGTATGGGGAAGGTACTTTTTCTTTGTAATCATGTTTTTTTCAAATTCAACAAGTTGTGCACATTTGTTTCTAAGTTGGTAGCTTTTAAAATCACAAATTTTGAATTCCTGCTGCAGCCTTTGTCAGTATTGAAAGATTGTAGTGTATTTGGGCCTGTACACAACTCGCCTAAGTAAATTGTTCAAAGGGCATTCATTTTTTAATAGTAATTTTGTAAATGTTTTGAGCTGAGCGGATGAGTGTGAGTTTGTGCTACAGTGGTTTATGGATTCACTTTTTGTCATATAACTTGATTTCTTTGCACTAAGGACATTGAGACTGTGTGGACAATTGTGCCTGTTTGGCAACAAGGTACAGTTTGCCCAGTGCTTGCCAATGAATAAAACTTGCAGCGTAATTTCTATTTGTCTGTATTTTTGTCAAGGTTAAAGGTACAAGGATAAAATATTCTTACATATATGAATGTAACTGCAAAATTAACCACAGTGCCTAAGCATAGTATTGAGGTTTGAGTAAACAGTCAGTTTAAAAAAAATGAGCAACAGCATTTTTATTTTCTATTAAATAAGATATCAAGTGTGTACTACACTCTAACAGTAACTCATTTTTCAAATTAACATCTTCTTAACTACAACCATACAATTGTACACCATCACAACACAAACTAGGAAAAGTAATAACAAAACCATCAATAAAAGTAACACTACAAATACACTTGATGTAAAGTTAAACTACAGGTTAATTCAAGCTGTTGTGCTGCAGGAGGCTTGTCAGAGATCAGGTGTGTCTGCATAAGGGGAGCAGAGCGCCCCCTCTTGGTCTCTATGCAGCTTGCCGTACAGGTCACAGCCCTCCCTCTCCTCTCTCAGCAGCCGCCTGAGCTTCATCAGGTAAACCTGGCTCAAGGCCAACTGCAGAGAACTGTGCACCTGTTCACAAACACGAAGAGACATGACAATCTGCCAAGCAAAACATCCACTCCTGGAGCTGCCCTACCCGGGACCTAATGAGTCATGGCACTGACTAAACTTTTTATACGGATAAGGCACAGTTCTTTACAAAACAAATAAAAGTTTATAAAAAAAATGTATGAGCCAGCTGCCCCTGATGAATCCACCTCTACAGCTGGGTAAAGCTTGCACCAAAAAGAAAAAAGGCCACTTGTTCTGTTAACAAGAGTTAAAAATAGGTAGTATGTTAAGGCATAAAGGGAGCATTATCATAACATTTAAGACAGTGTTATACAATAACTACCTAAACTCTCAAAAGAACAACTAAAAGATGTTAAGTTATGCAACATCAATGGAGTTGCACTGCAACAATAACTTTAAGATCGAATACCAGCACCTAGTGCTTTTACAATCTCACAATCATGTGAAACTATTTGAGACCTTTGTAGATCAATTTATCGTTAAAACAGTATGTCTTTGTTAAAAACAAACTTTTCCAAAACATCTAACATTCCTTCAGTTGTCAACTCAGAACTTGTGAATTATTCAGGAGGCTGGGGTCAGGCGGTAGTTGTGTCTGTGGAACTGCTGCATTTGGCCTTAGACAGTCTTTGTCCCGGTGCCTCGGCTTCCCCCTCCACTCAGATTTGACCCTTGGCAGAGAGTCGTACTGCAGGTGGCCCCTACAGCGACCCCTCCATGCCCCACTTTAAAGCTGCACTGACTCCTTTGTTGAGGCTTTTCTCTGGCCCGTGAGAACAGTGCAGAGGTCAGCACACAGCTGCATATTCATGGTCTGCCTTGAAGACAAGCAGATGTGAAGGACTCATGGTAACTGGTAATATTGGATATTTTAGCAATTTAGCAAGCACATCTTGGTTAGTTTACAAACTAGGATACAGGTTAGAAATGTGTTATTTCATTAGGTGTTTTCAGTTGCACTCAAAAAAAAAAAAAAAAAAAAAAAAGAAATCAACGCTTGAGGCAATGTCGTACATTGTTTGGTAAGAAAAATAAAAACAGATTCTGATTTGAAAAAACTACATTGACATTTTTGTTGTTGTAAAAATAAGACTTTGCGGAACACCCGAAGTTTCTTCAGATTTTAGAGTTGGTGATGCTTGAAGGAGAGAGGCAGAAGCTGGACAGGCTAACACCGTGACCCTATGCCCTTTCTGCCCAAATACCGCAGAACAGCAAAGTTATAAGTGGTAGATGCAGTGTAGGTCAGCTATAGAGAGAAGAAAAACAAGAGTGTCAGAAGTGGTGAAAGCGCTACAATGTCCAACTTTTTAAAGTCCAATTGGCAAAATTGACAACGAATAGATATAAGGTGATAGCTACAATTTGGCATGTTATGGCATATGTTCATTAACATGCACTATCCCGACTAATATAAACAATTAAGTTGCCATGTGTACGGGATTCTCCTCATTGTGATTAAATTGTGAACTCTTAACACTGAATGTTTATGCAAGCTGAGAAAAAAAGAGCAAATTTTCAAACTTGGAGGCCTGGAATGTTTCACTGCCTACTCACCATCGTCACTGAATCACATGAGCCACTTGAAATATCACTGTTGATTTAAACTCATGAAAAATGACTTCACTCACCAGAGCTAAGAGTGTGATTCCAGCACCAGCGAATGCCGCAATGTAGAGGTCATAGGTGATTCGGTACTGAGTGGAGAACAATGTCAGCAATTCAATAACTGCATACATTTAATTTATCAGATATATATGTATATACATACCTCTCTGGTCTTGCAAATAGAAGATAAGGTCATGCCACATGCTTTTCCAGGTACTGCATTCCACGGCAGCAATCCTGTAACAAATGAGAGTAATATTGGACTGCACAACTTTACCCCGAAGTGTCAAGGCAGGGCTTCTGTATTACCATACTGTCTGGCATCAACACAGAGCTGGTTGATACTGGCAGGAGTTTCTGTTAGGACATCTATGGTGTGGCAAGTGGCATCCATGTTGTAAAAGAAATACACAGGCAATGCAGAGAAGGCAAACACCAGCAGCCACAGCACAGCAAGCACATACGTCATCACTATGAACTGTAAAGGAAACAAACAGTGCAATAGACATTTTCATGTCAAACAATCATACACTTGCTACTTGCTCCTTGCTCTCTTGTTACAGCCACCATATTCCTGATTTACCAATCCCTCAATGCACAGTGAAAGGCTAGTACTGCACTACAATGATGTTTTCACCAAGTATACGGTAAACTATTGAAAATCCCCATCTACTCTGAAACTACAGCGTTTCACTTTAAGTTTGACAATAAATCTGACAGTATGCCATCATATTTTCTTTGAATGTCTTCCTGCAGTAGTGCAATTAAAGTGACAGTTTATTTCCATAATGAAAGCCTATGCATTTTCAGGTGTTAAGAATCAACCTATAGCATAAGTAGATCAACAGGTTGATAGACTTCAGTCTCAAAACTTCGGAAGTTAGGTGAAAAAATATAACCTGGTTTAAGCTCATAAAAGTAGATTTTTGCATAAAATGCCCCTTTACATGTAAAAATATTCCATCTAAGAAAAGCCTGTAGTAGTTAAAAAATCCCAGTCCCCTTTAACCATTCCACAATGGGCCTCTCACCGTGGAGCTCAGGCAGCGGCCACACATGGTGCTCCGAAACTCTCCAAAGGTTTGCCTGGCTGCACTGGTGGTGTAGAAGCCCTCGGCCAGCAGCACAATGCAATAGAGGAAGAAGAAGGAAGCCAAACCGTAGATGACATACTGGAAATACTGAATGCTGCAAGAGAAAGCATCAAGACAAAAGTTTGGACTTTTGCAGTTTTTCACATCTAGCAGGGATTGGACCCCTTTTCATGATATTCCTGACAAGTGCAGATGGTTGCACTGATGTGTTCAAAAGAAGTGTGTTAATATTTTCTTGTAAACTTTTAATGACAATACATAATTTAGTAAGCAGGAATTAAAGAACATCTGTCTGGCATAGTGTCAAAGCAGTACTTTTTTTTTTTTTTTTTTTTAGCACATTTTAGGCAATTCATGTTTTGGTGTTAATCTTGCTTTGGTTAAATACACACACAAATAATGGGTTTACTTTGGGGAATTTTATGGCACATTGATACTTCATGGGAAACTATCTGACATATTTCTAATGAGCAAATCCGTAAACCCAGAACCCAGAAGTTCTGAGCTAATAATGGTGTCAGTAGTGTTTGGGCTGACTTCAGTGTGATCTTCAGCGTTCAGTTTGACTAAACCTATAGTCAATAGGGATATCACAAAAATAGTGATCTCTCCACAGCATGCAATATTGTTACTGCATGTTTTCTCATTTGCAGCATCATCACCACAAACGCACTGTATTTTGTATTACTCACATGTATGCGAGTGTTATGTAGTCCTGAATATTTCGGGCAAAGTAGGTCTCGATGAGTCTCTCTGTCTCCGTGAGGGCCTGGTGTCCGCAGCCACAGAACAACGCGATGCCAGAGAAGCACAGCAGAGTAGCAACCAGAGAGCAGTATGGTACTCCTCCCAGACAGCGCATGCAACAGTCATAGCAGCCTTTCAATAAAAAACAAGTATAAGCCAAGGTATGTTATTTAATGATGATTTTCCAAATATTTACAGATTAGCATCTCTTTCAGCTCTCAGGTATTAGGTATGTCATAAGTCAAAATAATTAAATGTGTTCCGTAAACAGTACAACACACTGAATAAAGGCCTTTTATTACCCCAGTGAAAGTAAATTATTTAGTATACTGGTCAATACTATGATACTTTCTACTTCCTGCTGCTACTGGTTCTGCTGCTACTGGTTCTGCAACTACTTCAGTAACTTTAATCCCATGTGGTGTCAAAGCTACAAAAAGTTACACTATATTTATATAACTAAATACATTCCATTAGCTTGTCATATCTATTAGAAGATGCAAAAACAATATTTACATATTCCTGATCAGCTGTTAGTACCTCTGGTTGAAGTTGTGCATATAAGTACTTTCTAATAGTGGTGATGTGGTTTGAATATAAGACAAGGGCCAAAAGGCTGTGTCTATACAGACTGAGCTAGGACCGAGAGTCCATTCAGAAGCCAGTCTGCAGCATGTGAGAAAAGGGGGAGGACTGAAGAAGAGACAAAGTCCAGAGACAGCTGCCTTTGTGACTGCTAGAGACAACCCCTTTTGTCCTAGCAGCATCATGAGGCTACAAGGGCGACCAATGTCTCGCAAACAAAAGCCATGGCCATAGACTCGGCTCTTTCTATACGTGGACCCAGTTCTTGATACTTCCTTATGGGGAAACACAGGAATAGGAAAATGGTCCTTAGAGGGAAAGGCAAATGTATAAATTGACAATAGTACTGTGTGTGCCATTACACCCACCACAGAGACAATTGAAACAGGCAGACAGAGGCTGGTACCAGCATTGTGAGCACATATGATGGAAGGAGGAGTGAAAATTATTCATAACAAGTTATTGCTTTAATTTAATGGTTCTCATTTATCCAAAGGCATTCATGGCTAGGCATGTTTCTACTGTTGCAACCTTACTCTATTATAGGAAACTATAATAACAGTCTGGCTTGTCTGGTAAGCAGTACTATATCAGGTCTACATTCTAAACTGACAAAATTATTATTTTACTTTTGATTTGTTGCAGATCATCTTCATCACAGTAATAATGGCTACATAATTATAAAGTCTACGTTTAACTTTAAATAGTCAACTAAAACAATGTATGTTTTTAGTAATATTCATGTAGACAATGAAGTAGTTGAACAAGTTCATAAATAGATACATAAAAAATATCAATGTTAAAAGGTAAAAAAAAATAAAAAATGTCCACATGTCTAAAGTTTCCTTGGAGCACCTGGGCATCATCACTAATGACAAGAAGGGGATCAGACTGCGACCAGCGCGGAGGAATACGGGCCCAATTTGAGTTAAAAAAAACAAACCCAAAAAACATATCTATACCATATCTTGGTCTATTTCGTCTTTTAAAATGAAGAAGGCTTGTGTGACCCAGCGTAACTGCGACAAGGCTTCTCAGAGAGTAAGTAGTCCCGCCATTCCAAGCATGAAATAAATCTTAAACTATCACTGAAGCGTCAGACAGTGAGTACCCCTGTCTGGAGAAAAAAATAAAAAAAACATAATAACTTTTGGCCTTTCGTACAAGCTCCATATCAGTGTGCAGCCACACGAGGGAAATTGCAGATTTGAAAATAAGCGGTTTTCTATTTAGTTTAAGAGCTAATAAAGTGATAGAATCACTTACCCATGTCTGTACCCAATGCGTCAGGACGTCGCTGCGGCCACTGGTCTCCCCACAGCTGCTGCTCGGCTGATGATATGCGCAACTGGATTTCGGCCCCCGTATATCAATCTCAACTCGCTTTCTGTTCCCCCAACAATGAACAGGCCCCACGACGACTGCAAGTGCCATCTTAAAGAAACAATGTCGCTTTTCAATGAACTGTGCGAAGGGAATAATGAGGAGGTCAAGGTTCTTACGCGCAGGGACTTTTGTCTGGGTCATTGTTGCAGTACGTAGCATGCTTGCAAATTGGCAACGCGGTGCATTCCATTACACAACTGGTCTTATTATTCTTTATCTTAAACTTTCCACTTCTAAACACGAAGTCAACGTAATTAACTACAATTAAGACCTTGCCTATATTTTCAACTGAAATTGATCATATCGCCATCACGCTATGGCATTTTGGGAGCCTCAAAGAGTCACGCTACATTATAAGGTCATAAAGTTTATTTTTTACAGATTTTCTAACGTGAATGAATTCTGTGTAGAGGCAGTTTTTTTCAAATTTTCTAAGCTGCATTTACAACTACAACTGTGTAGACTAACTGCAGTGCTCAGGAATGCTAAAAAGTAAAGCTCACAAAACATGGCTTGTTAATTGTGTCTGGTTTCTATGCTGCACAAAAAAAAAAAAAAAAAAAAAAAAACAAAAACAAAAAAAACAAAAAAAACAAAACAAAACAAAAACAAAACAAAACAAAAAAACTAAAAATTCAGAATATTTCTTTAAGACACCCAGCTCTGTCCAGTAGATGGCAGACTTTAACCTTTTTCCTCATTACAAAAAAAAAAGCACACTCATAAAGCCAAGAACTCTTCTGGACCACTTTTTTGTATTTGTATAGTGGACAGAGCAAAAAAAAAAAAAAAAAATAATAAAATATAGAACAAAGGCGTGGCACTAAGCAATGCAAAGTCATATACATTTTGCTTGCATCAATTACATATAGCTAAACTACTGCATGTCTAGTCTATTCATGCAAATATGTAAACACCCCACTTTCTGTGTTATGTCAACATGCTCTTTTAATCTTTCATGCACCATTTTACTTTAATTGACTTCAGTTGTATTGCACTGTAAATCTACCTTTTGTGGTGCTCTCTTTGAACATGGCATGATTTCAATACAACTTTCCAGGAAGTGACAGACAGCTCATTTGTCTTCTTTTTCTGGCAGAGACCTAGCAACATAGGTGAGCAGCAGTAGTGAGTAAACTATTAAAACACAGGTATGAGAAGTTGAGATGGTTACTTGAGATGGCTGTGTACTCACATGTCTAACAGTTCTTCATGGTGGCCGCACACTAGTTTTAGAATTCATTTTGAGTGATTTTTTTTCAACACCGATGACATTAATCCTCTTTGTGTGACTAAATACTAGACTCTCTGTCACTCAAAGCTGGAAATCTGAGAAAGTCTCCCATCAAGTCAAGCTGACCAATACCTCAGCCACTCAGGTCACAGAAAATAGGTACTTTAAGTAATGACTTATAAGCTCCACTATTAACTGTAACATTTTAACATTTTAATGCACCTAGCATCTATGTTATGCTCAGTTGAGATTGGGAGTTTGGAAATCCTGTCTGGTTGGTACTTAAGTATTCTGATTGTAAGAGATGTAGTTTTGAATTTTCTTTAGGGATCATACATTTCTGAAAACCTGAACTAAACATGTTAAATATCTTATTTTTTTCACAAATTGCTTTAAAAACAATATTTTGCTTGAGTGTTGTGAATAGTGAGAGCTAAACGTTACAGTAGTTTCTATAAATCTAACGCATTCAAGATAACTCTATGATCAGCATTTTAATACCAGGGTATTTACATAGCAATATTAATCAGAACTTCATTCAAAAATCTGATTTTCAAAACAAAACAAATAAACAAAAAAGAAACAAGTTAACAAGAAAATACAACATGTATCCGACTTATGCCAATATTACTATTTAATACTCCGAATAGACAGTATATAGTAGTACAGATAGTATTTACACACACAAAAAAAATCATGCACGCACACACACAGAAAATGTATTTAGATATGCATAGAATCTTAAGAATTTGATGTAAGAGGAAGAAAAAGTTATTTACAGAATTCATTCTTGGCACGATTTGAAGAGGAGATTACACACATTGCTCGTTGCTATTCATCTGAGAAATATTTATCTAGAAGCTTCAGTGGGACCTCATTCTCATTTGTTTTCTTTTGGGACTGCTTCTTTCGTCTGTGTAAAACAACAGTTCCCACAAACAGACATAAAGATACAATCATCATACCCAAGCCTAAAAATAAGATGATCTGAATCTGATTCGGAGAGTTTGTTGATTCTTGGTTGGTGGGACACCCTACACTCTCTGAAGTGGTGGGGGAGGGCCAGGAAGGTTCTTGGGGTTCACAGTCCAAGTGGCAGGTCTCTGAGCTGTCGTTAACAAACAGATTAACCCAAACTGCAGTGTGAAGCGGAGAGGGCTTCCCCCTGTCACTGACCACAACAAAAAGGTTATGCATTCTTAAGTCTGGCCCTTGGAGGCGCTGTGCCAAAGTGATGTTTCCTGTCTTGGAGTCCACTTTGAATGGCCTGCTTTGATTTATAACAGTATATATCAACTCTGAGTTCAGTCCAGTGTCCTGATCAACAGCATAGACCCGTGTGATGATTGTGCCGGCCGTTGTGTTTGGTGGCACAGTTAGACATGTTAAATTGCTTACAGGAAGGATAACTTTTGGTTTGTTGTCATTAATGTCCTCTATGTAAACAATAATCCTTACACTGGAGGTCAAACGAATTGGGGCACCATTATCGGATGCCATCACCCAAAATTCAAAGCGGTCCTGCATCTCTCTATCTAAGCTGGTTGTAATGTGCAAAGTATTTTTGGAGTTTGGTATCACAAAAGGTCCACTGCTATTTGAGACATACATCACTATGCTTCCATTCTCACCTTCATCTGCATCTGTCACCCCTATGGCCCCCACTGGAGCCAAAACAGGAGCATTTTCGGGAACAAAAAAGATAAAGTGTGGCATTGCAAACACAGGTGCATTATCGTTTTTGTCCATAACTCGAATGTGCACTGTGACTGTAGTCTCCAGAGGGGGAAAGCCACTGTCTTGTGCGGTAACTCTAATGATGTGGAGTCTCTGCTGTTCTCTGTCCAGAGAGACAGAAACAAACAGTTGACCTGTGTATTGGTCAATGTTAAAACTTCTGTGTGTGTGCTCTCCCAGTCTGTAGGTGACTCTGCCGTTGTCCTCACTGTCTGCATCAGAGGCTGTGACCTTGAGCAGTGCCTCTGGCTCATTGTTTTCCTCCACCTCCAGCTCATAAAGGGATACAGGAAAGATGGGAGGGTTATCGTTGACATCAGTCACCACAACCCTGATGACATGAACAGAGACTGTGATCACTGATCCCTGATCAGATCTCTGCACAGTCACAGAAATGAGATGTTGTCTCTTTTCTTCATAATCTAAAGCCCTTGAAGTCGACAGCAGGTATTTGCCCCTCTGATGATTCAGTGTGAAAGGCACTTCACCCTCTATGTTAAGAGATAGGTCTTCTAAGCCTCTGTTGCCCTCCAGCTCTAACACTGCTAATAGAGTAGAGGGCTCATTCTCCGCTACCATTAGAGTTTGGTTCTCATGTCTTGCTATGAAACCAATCTTTAATGTAGGCTCCTCTTTGGCCCTGGGGTGCACAGATACTGTTACCTGAGTGTCAGCTGGGGAGCAGTGGAGACCGCTGGCCTGCACTTTTAATACTATCTCCTCAGAGATGTCAGACTGGAGGTCCTGTGTCAGAATGACAGATCCAGTCAGGCTATCCAGGCTGAAGAGTGCCCTGGCCCGCTCGGACATTTTGGGACTGAAGTTGTAAGTAATTGCAGAATTTGTACCAAAATCTGGGTCAGTGGCTTTGACCTGGGCCACCAGAGTGTTCTTTGGGGAACCTCCAGAAATGGTGACATTCTGACGACTGTCAGGACTGAAGCTGGGACAGTTGTCATTCACATCTGTCACTGTGATTCTTAACGCTACAGCTGCTGTTAAAGAAGGTGAGCCCCTGTCTTTGGCCACCAGTGTGATGTTGTACTCATCCTGGGTTTCTCTGTCCAGCGCTGCTTTTACAACCAGCTTTATACTTCCTTCATCTTCAGCGTCTACATCAAAAACCCCATCAGACCCCTCTATAATATAGTGAATGGTTCCATTACTTCCAATATCTGTGTCCTGGGCCAGGTCATCCAGTAAGAATCCTGCCCCAATACTTACATCCTCAGACACGCTCAGATGTATTTCTGTGTTTTCAAAATGAGGCGCATTGTCATTGATGTCCTCGACAATGACAGAAAACTGCACAAGATCCACAGCGGCCCCCACAATGGCAGTGTGGCGAATAATACACCCATCAGCTCTTGTCTCCTCGGGACACAGCTCTTCTCGATCCATCCTTCTCTCTGTGGTGTATAAGCTCCCTGTGTCACTGTCCAACCACAGATAATCCACAGTCAGGAGCTGGTATGGAGATGGGTAGTGAAATCTTAGTGTCCCGACCAGCACCCCAGGCCCCTGCTCCTCTGGTACAAAGAAGTGGACTGCACCGCACATGAAACTGAGGTGGACCACAATCAACAAACTCTGAGGAGACACAGGACAAAATGCAAACATTTTATTCAGTTACCTGAAATATACAAAGTTATAAGAGTATAAGGCACCACTTGTTGCATTCTGGTGCATTGTGTGTAACTTTTCTGATGCTTTTCTCCATGGAGATGCAATTGCCTTGATAGAAATGTTTCACAGTATAGGATTAAAACTTTCTATCTTCTTGGAGACCAAACCAGACCAAGTTACAGGTCAGCTCTGGAGAAGCAACCCTGTTCACAGTAAGAGCACTTGTTTTTCAAGGTATTTTTGAGCTATGAAACCATATATAATTGAATAAATGTAAGGTAGAGCTATTTGATGTCATACTGTGGAACATTACAGGCAGAGCAATGACATATCATTGAAACATAAATGTATACATAAGAAACAAGCAGGTGATAGACCACCAAGTTGCACATTGTACATTGTACACAGTTCCACATTGCACCTTTAAACAGCATATGTAAATGATTGCAATCTGGTATAAACTATTTCTAATCTTTCTTGTTGCATTTCAGTGTAAAAAAATGGAAAGCTCATGCATAATTTCTGACACACTAACCTGTAGCAGTGGAGTGTGGCTCATATTAGCAGCAGTCTCCTAGCCTATTGGCCTCACATGTTACCTGAGTTCTCCGACAGTGACTGAGTGTGGACTAGAGGGAGTGAGCTGAACCTGTGCAGTACATGAAAGCCCCTCCTCCTACAGTTACCTTGCGTGTGACTGATACCTGAGCTGGCTGAAGTAGTACAGGTTTACCTGCACTGAACTCCAAAGCATGTTATTGTTGTGCCACATTGTGATACACCGGAATCACAGAATAATGATTAGACAGTGTTTTATTCTCTGTCAACATTTTCCCTTGAGGCCACAGTCAGGGTGTGCCTTTTAGCTCAAAAGCATACGCAATAATTACTGTATAATTATTTTTTTCACGGATCCATAAGCTCCTACAAGTATGTCAAATCTATCACTCTGCTTATTACTATAAATGGGCTAGTTTTTGGCTGTCTTTAGAATAAATAACAAAAACCTAGTTGCAAGTATAGTATTGTAAGTTGCCAGTTGGGGAGGCTTATTATAATTATATATAATGACATATGTAGGTGCACCCTGCCTTTAGATACATACAGTTTAGTTTATTTTTACATGAACCATATGTAGCAGCAAAGAAACATAAAAGAGATGCTTTGTATCAGATTATGGCTCTCAGGGTTAATTTCCATCAGTCCTTGACACATACAAAACAAAGAATACACACACACGGAATTAAACAATGCAACCTATTTACAAAATGTGATTGTGATGAAAAGATGAAATTTACAATGACATTAAATACATCTATCGTAAATGTTGGCACATTTGTGTGTTGTTAAAAAAATATTTTATTAATTCAGCCCTAAACGTTTTGAACGTCTTTGCATAGTTTTAAATGTGTTGGTAATAACTAGCCCAATCTTATGCAATCTTATGGTTGTTTAGTTAGTTTCTTTTTTTTTGTAGAGAATCTCTTACAGTAACCTAGGGGTTGCTCCACAGTGGCCTCTGCTGTTAACCCAGGATATTGTTTCATTTGGCCAGTGTATGCTGTAGTTTTGTAGCGTTACACTTGATTATGCGCTGTATCGCTCTTTTCTGGTTTAAACAAGTCAGTTGACGCCACAGCGTTTAACGGAAATGCGTATTTGTTTATTTATGAATAAGCTGTTATTGTGTATTATTTATCCCATCAAAGTGTTTCAAAAGTCGATAAACATGCTAAGAGCACAGAGTCTACCTTTTAAAAGTGTTAGGAAGTGAGGAGCCTACTTTTTGTGTAAAGGATAAATGGTGGAAATTGTTATAGCGGGTCTGAATTACGTAATAGTCCTTTCCAGAATGTTTGAGTTGTTTCGCTCATATTTTCCAGTGGCCGCCTTGCGCCGTGGCCCCGTGTGACGGTGCGCGCGCTCTGATTGGCTCGTACGCCTCTGCGGGGGGCCTGAATGTAAACGTGCAGGCGTGCTCGTCTTTACACAGTTTAAGTCAGAGACTCAGATTTACTGTGCCGTGTTTTATAGCTTCGTCCATCATGTCTTCAGACCTGACTACAGGTGAGACCTCTTTTAAAAATCACATTTTGTGTAGCTTTGGTATGTTGTTGATATATGTAATATGTAGAAATGTAGCTATTTCCTAAAAAAAAAAACAAATGCCTTTGGCTACTACTATCAAAAATGATTGCTTGTAGCACATAGTATATGTATACACATACTTACAATTCATTTTTTTTAAATTTCAATTTGGTATGAAAACTATTTTCCCCATACTTTACTTTTTAAATGAGAGTTTTGGTGAGAATTTTGTAACCTAAAGTCTAACTTGTCCTGTATCTGTTACAGAGCTAGAGCAAGAGCTGGGTGACTTGTTGCAAGAGTTCCAGGATATGGTGGAGGTGCTCAAAGCCCCATCTCAGGGCAGAGCCAACTCTTATCAATATGTCCTGGAGGAGGCAAAGTGCAGGACTGGGCAGTGTGATGACAGCGGAGTGGAAGACTATGACAGCAGTTAGTACTCTTATTCTTCTTTGATCATTTTCAGTTTTAACACATGCATATATAGAACTGATACAACTTTGTGCATCATTTGCCTCATGTTTTGTGGTTTGCACAGAGGCCCATGGGTGGTGACTGAACCCCTTTCAGTAGCTCAAACAGCAGCTTTAGTTCTTCATTAGCCAGGACTAACCACTGAATACTAATAAAAGGACTGTTTGTCCATCAACAAATATGATTTACCAGAATAATGTAGTATAACTATGGATTATGGTATTTTTGTAGCTCTCATTTGTTAAATATGTATGCCTTTGTGAGGTAAAAGTTTTTCATCTCCCATGTGTGGTTATTACAGAGTGTTTTGGCACCTAATGGTGCAGTCGGAGCTGCGTTCAGAAGCAGGCACTTGGGACACACTAACACTGAACCATCATTTAGCTTTAATTTTTTATGAATGTTATAATTAGACACACAGCTCCCTTTGTTTCAGCTTGTTGATCATTTACATGAAGTGTCCTTGGTGGGTGTAGTGTGTTTATTGTTGCATCTTCCTCAGGCAGCGAGGCGTCTTTGAGAAACAGTCTGAACAGCAGTGAGGAGGAGCTGCACACAGCAGGTCTAATACACGCACCCAAAGGTACGAAGTGCTTATCTCCATCTCCTTTCTCAGCCATGCTCTACAGCGATCACTATCTCGCCTCTGATCTCTATCACAGCACACACACCTCTTTACATCGGAGCCGAGAGCTCTTTTGTTTTTGCACAACAAAGCCGATGGCCCTGTCAGTGTGAAGCCTCTTTTTCTGGAGCAGGAATCCTTTGTGTTGTCATGTCTTAAGCACAACGGCTCATGTGTATGAAAAGAAAGAAAAAGGACAGAACTTTACTTGCATGACAATCAGAGCGTTATTTTCATTAAATGCCATGACTATATTTATTCTTTGTATTGCATAATAGTTTTCTCCCCTCTTTCTGTGTTTCTGTGACTAAAATTTTCCGAAGGATATGTCATAAAACGTAGTTCCATAAAAATTTTCAATTTTTTTTTTTTTTTCCATAGTCTCTCATATTTCTCTTTTTTCTTTTCTTCAGCCAAGTTGGGAGACACAAGGGAGCTGGAGAGTTTTATCGACGTGTTGGATCGAGAACTTGCTGGTACATATTAAGTGAATTATCCTCCCTATCACTCAGTCTCCTCCTTATTTCTCCTACACTTAAGCAGACAAGGCAGAGACTACAGTATGTGATGGTGGTACTGACTGACAGAGAGCATTTGTTTAACACTTTGAAAGCACAGACCAGTAGCTGGCTCACTTCTCCTCTGTAGTGCCCTCCTCTATTTATCTGAGAACCTCTTGTGTGTAAATGCCATGTCTGGGCCTCAGGTGGGCTATCTATGCACCCTTTGGTGATAATGGCATACTTGACTACATAAGCGCCATCATCCCACTATCTGCCTAAACCACTGATGTTACAAGGCCTCCAACACTCCACAAATGTTGTCTGACTGTTTATAGTAAACTACTGTTGGTTATCAAATAATCCAGTGCTTCTGTCCACTTCTTGACACTGTTTTTTTTTTTTCAGAAATGTAAAATGGACCAAGACGAGGCATTTGAATAATGCCAAGACCAGGGGAGACCTGTATGGCAGAGTCCATGTGTCCATTCACAAGAGCAACGCTTTTGCTCTCTGCTGCGCAAGATGTTGACCTCATTCACATAAGAAAAATAGGACATTGCATTTAAAGAACCTGCAAACTCAGTGTATTTAAAGAACCTGCAGACAGCCTAGTGCCTACTGTCTGGTCTTATGAAAAAAGAGAAAAAAACAGAAATATTTTAATTTAGTTTCAAAAGGCTTTCAGTTTTCATTTTGATTATTTTTTTCTGCCCCATGGGTTCAGGTGTATATTTTTTACAATAGTTCTTCCATTTTATATATATAAATATGTGAATAAGTGTGAAGTTGTACAGTTCTTGTTCTTTGCTCAGCAAATAAAAATATTTTTGATTGATGTGGCACTTTTTATTGTTAATTACTATGGGATTCACTGTTGCTTGGCCACTTTCCACAGTCATTAGTAAAATTCTTTTTGACTGTTTTTGTGGCGCACTTCCTCATTCTTCACTCTTGGGTTACTTGTACCTTTTACTTCCTGCCTATCTATGGTTTTTGTGAGTTTCACTTCTACCACCAAACAAAAGTTCTGCCTACTTTTAGGTGTGCATTATAAACATGAGGTTTGACACAGAAAATAAAGGAAGTCTGTTCTTTTTTTCCCATACACTGTATTTATAAGAGACATCTCAGTCAAAGTAGAATTTTCTCCCAGTCAAATCTTATGAATTTTATTAATATAAAAAGTTGCATTTCTACTCATTATGTACTTTTTTCATAAAGTGTTTACTAATATTATTCTTGGTAGGCCTATAGAAGTAATAATGTAATAAAATTGTAAGTAATTAATACCCCATAGAAGTGTACCCTGTCTTTAAACTACCTTACGTACACTTGAGTGCCATAACTGTACTTTTACTTGTTATACATTCTTGTCCATCTCTGATTGTTATCTATTGTGGGTGTGAGCGTTAGAGGGGTGAGGAATGTGCCACTTCCGCACAAAGATACTTACTATAAAAACTTGCAATTCTATCTTTGGCTTACTTAAAGGACAGTGTTTTCTGAAAACACATTGTAGAAAAATCTGAATTTAGGCTCCAGCACTTTATTGCTTTATTGACTTGATTCAAACTTTTAAAATCCCCTCAACTGTTTGTTGATTTAGCTCGTCATCCATTACAGCACCCAGATGATGTATTATAGAACGAGCCTGTGAGCAGAAATGTGTTGAGGGCTTGGGTGTCACCAGTGGCAGGTGGAGGAAAGAAGGCAAAGCGTTTAAGATATTGCCTTAGTCTGTTTATGCCCCTTTAATGGACATTTTGTTCAGAAAGTTGAGCCAGGCTTTGAACCCCAGCCAAGTATTTAACCTGCAGACTGACTGGCAGTTAACTGTGAGTTCAGGAGGGAATATAAAGAGAAAATGCCTAAACAATGGGAACAATATGCTGCAGTGGTGTGGAGTAACCTGTTTTCCTTTTTGTGTCGTCTGTTCTAGTTACAAAAATGCAAGGATGACTGATTGAGGCCACAGCTGTTCACCAGAGTCACAAACAAACTTGGCTTTCAAAATGATGGAGCTTCCCTCAAAAGCAAGGGCGCATCCTGTTTTTAGAAGGAGAACAAGGAAAACACTCAGGTACATGCAGATTTGGGAGGGATTGTTTAAAGTTATTTTCAGACATTCCTCATCACACTGAAATATTTCAAGAATTTATCAATTAATTTAAACCTGCACCATACTCCTTTTACAGTGCAATAATATTCTTATGTGTTTAGAGCAGCTGCCCTCATCTTGTGTGGACTGAATTTCACTGTACATAGAATTGCCAAATGATAATTGATTATGTGCTGCTGAACATAAAGGTGCTCCCTATGCAGCTATAGGGAGTCATATCTGGATTTCTAGCCTTTGTGCCAAATCCAAAGCATGATAATTATAATGAATCTGAAGTGTATAAAACCTATGGGCAACCAATATGCAAAGAACTCCAGGCTATGAGGAATAATTTAATATCTGCAAGAACTAAAACCAAAAACACCTTCTGAATTGAACTTCTGAAATAATTTCCTTTTTCCATAATCATTTTCCTGTGCTACTGTCTCTTACTGTTGTAAAAGTACCTGTTTTGTGGTACTTGACATGGCCAACCCAATTACCTGTGTCACCACTGTACAGGAACAGTCAGAGGCACCTCATTATGCAGCATCATTTCTTTATTAGATTGCTCTTCGGTAGGATCTGATGTAATATATCAGGCGGTCTTATGGGAACACCTCCCTGTTGTTTATCTGCTAATTACTATGAGGGAGGTGGGTTGATTGGCAGCGCGCTCAAGTAGGAGGCCAGCGTGTCAGCCAGTCGCGGTGTTTAGATAACAGACAGAGTAAATGATGAATGAACCGCATTCATTAGCAGCTAAATTAAAATGAATTGATGTTATGATGAGACGCAGAATAGATATTAGAGATGAAGTCTTAATAAAGATCCCGTTGTACCCTGTGGCTTCCACCTATAGCCCCAAGCAGCTGGTAATAAATGTCACATGGACTGAATGTCTCTGCACACAGCACTGGGTTGTTTTAAGCTGCTTTACAAAATAATGAAACCATAATTGACTATACCAGAAGAAGGAGAGTGGATATTGTGAGCCATTGAATAAATGAAGCTGAGATATAGGAGTATCACAGAATGGAGCAAAGTGCAGGGTAGTAAGTCCTCTGTCATCTGCCTGATGAGTGAAGAACTATACACCTATCCCACGAGAGCAAAGCCCAGAGCTCCCAGTGGTGGAACACACCCAGTCTCTAAACAGTTACATAACAGACCAATAGACTGGATTATATTGTGCCTATACAAGGCTGTAACACAAAAAAACTGTTTATTTAATTAAAATTTTGATAAAATGTGGGTTGTTAAATCATCGATCAGAATTTAGTCTTTCAAACTTGCACTTTACAGTCTGCTATGGCAACATTTGGTAGTGTAATTAAGTCCTGTCTATTTCTGGTAGTTTATGATACTACAGAATTATCTGCAGTAAACATTTTTTAATCAGCGCTACAAACATAATTATAATCTGTTAGCTGAAATAGATCAACAGTTTATTGTGGCCATTTGCTAATAATACTTGATTGCTGGCGTTTTACATAAATCAGACAGTCCTTCAGTTTAAGTTAGTAGATAATTTTTAAAGGAGTATTTGAAACAAAGAGCAGGATTTTATTTCTGGTCACCCCTCAATCACAGCTATTTTTTATCTTTTTCAACTATGAGGAAATGACGATATACAAATATTCTCATTTTACATGGAAGTGGAATTGTATTAATCATGTCTGATAACAGTTTAACTGAGACAATAATGACTTTGCAAATCACGTCTGTATCTTCAAATAAAAAATACTGCATTAGTTCTAATTATTATTACTGAATGCAATTGTATATTAAAAAAGTAAGTATGTTATTATTTATTGTGTGATCTAAATGATTCCTTGGTTACTTAATCTGTAATCTTAAGTATTTTGCTTTGTATTCTACTGAAACATTCAAGAACATTTCTTCTCATTTGAAGCCATTAGTGCCTCAGTAGCAGAGGAAAGACGTGTTTGTATTCTCTTATATAATTGCCCTGATCCATTCTGTACTCTGTCATTTCCTGTTTTGCTGAGTGGTTCTGCAGAACTCATTGTATGGTACAGGAAACCGCCTTAATTCCTCCCTGAGACATTTTCACTCTTAAAGAATGTGTCTCCTTCCTCCTGACTTCAAATGAGCCGTTACATCAGCACTGACGATCGGGGATTTCTGTGTAACTCTTCTGTTTTTCCCTTTCAATCTGACAAAATTTACTACTGAAACTGAAGGACACACAACAAATGACAACAGAGCTGCTGTGTTGTAAATCTAATAAACACATTACGTTTAAGAAGAATATCAATATATATATATATATATATATATATATATATATATATATATATATATATATATATATATATATATATATATACTCTAACTCTAAGGTTGATCTGTCCCTGTTCGTGTTTGTTTGTTTTCATATACACTACTGGCAAATAGATTGTAATGCTTTCATAATGTACACAAATGAAATACATTTAGTTCAGTAGAGACAGAGAGTGTATAAAGAAGTGGACTAAGTGAGTTTGACATCACCCATAGCATTCGGTTCCACTCAAATGAAGCTTGTGAGGCAAGCCGTTACAGGGCGAATTTGGATCCAGGCTCTATATTAGGAATAGGATTTTTTGATTGACAAAATAGCTGGGGAAAAAATAACACCAGAATCCTGTAGAGCAGGTTAAGATGAACATTTAAAAAAATTACAAGGCTCGCAGCAGCAGTTACAGAGAGAGGGGCGACAATATTCCAATGTAAGTTCATGGCAGCCAGGGTCAGAAGTAGCCAGAAGAACCAGTATGTGAACTTCCTATTTGGAACTTGGAGTCTAACATGTTAGCTATGTCCATTTATATATACAGTCTATGAGTAGAGATTGACAAACGTGCTTCTATGGAGTTTGAGAGAAGAACTCACCTTAACTATGCAGGATTTGTGTGCTAAACATGTGTGAATGAAACAAAACACAGCTCCAGGTATGTTTGTGGTGAGGGAACAACACTATAACACAGATCAAAAAATAGTGTAATATCGGCCCTTTAAACACCAAAATTACTAGATTTGGTAATTATAATGGAATGTTGTCGGTATGGCATCACGTTGTAGATAATATCAGTTTACTGCTACAACGGTTACACTTGCCACTGGTTTAAAAACAACATTATTCTGGGATGTCATTGAGGACAGAGTTGTTATTGATGTTCCATACCTCATTTTGAAAACCACATTCGGTTAAAATTAAGAATTAATTTTACACTGGCAAATTACTTTAATACATGCAAGGTTATGGCCGTCCTACACTACTGCAAGAGTAGCATTTGCAACTTTTCTCTCAAATATGAAATCAGGGACTTACACAATTTTGCCTCTTTTGGACATACAAGTTATGACTATGTGCATATGGATTTTGTCATTTTTTTATATATTGCTGTGTATTGTTTGTACTCACATTATGACAACACATACTGTTGGGTTCTGTTGATTTACTGAAATATGCGAAATATGCGCAAACAATCATGCTTATACTTATCCATAAACATAGTGGAGAATGTATCTGTTTTTGTATTACTAGCCCAGTGAAAATAAAAAATAAATAAATAAAAAAAATGTGAAGATCTCTTTACTTTGTGACACTGGATGATGGCAGTGGTAGATCTCGGAGCAGGTTTTGTATTGAGCACAGAGAAAACAGGAGAGGATCAGATGTGCATGTGTGAGTGGAAGTGACAGTGAGTTTTGGCAAATGGCATGTGCTA